CAAAACATCTCTGCTTGCCATTTAAGGGGTTAACTCTTTTGATACTCAGACGAGTGATGACGTCTATGATCGTTTTGAGCTGTTTTTAGTGTCAAGCGTTTTCCATTTTTGTTCAAATCGCTGAAAGGTAAAATATTCGATTTTTAAATAAATAAAAGAGACTTGATTCACGTGCAGATAAATGTTTTATTTGTCGACATTTATATGAATTGAAAGATTCGTCATATTTTTTCTATAATGTATTTTTTTCTGTATATCAAATAGGCCATCAATACTTTTGGAAATACGAACAATGCAAATTTTTTACATATTTTCTTAATTACCTTTTTGAATTAGGAAAAAAAATAGAATAAAATATTTGTATGTATAAAATTGTTTTTGAATTTATTGTCTATCATCACCCTCAAAATTACAATTCCTATGTATGATCATTGGGTCAACGAGATGACCTAACTTGTAGGGATTCAAAGACAGACGGACAGACCGACACTTTTTATTTTGCACCGACCGAGATTTTTTGCAGCATCGTACTTACATCGTACAGCACCTTACTACTACGGTAGTGTAGTGTAGTACGGTTGCACATCCGGAGGATCTGGGTTCGAGACTGTTTTTGTTAAGAAAGTCCCAGTAGCAGCGTGGAGTTGGGAAGTTGGCGGTGTTTCACCCCCGTGCCTTTGGTTCGCCGTTGGTCCAACGCCTGATCTCTAATCATCAAATTGTCGTCCCATCGGAATCTGAGAGTTAAATGAATAGAGAGTGCACTTACGAGTATGTCTGCGCGAACACTTGTGCATTATAGTATCTCCTACGCAGACTGCTGGTCTCAGTGAGATTTACCGCCGTGGTCGAAATCTTTCAGGAGAACATCATATTTACTTGACTTATAATGAACAATAGTATCAAATAATTGAATTAGCTCCAGCTATAATTTATACATACTTAAATCATATTGAAAGAGATGTATGTTTTTAAGTTCTTACTAGACGGACAATAAAAAGCTTCAATGAAATCTTGGATAAATAAAGTTAACTTGCATTAGAAATATTTCAGAAATTTATAAAAGTTATTAAATAATTTAAATACTGATTAAACTTCAATTAAACAATGATTGTATAATTTTTACTTTTACCTTTATGCACAATTCTTTGTCTTTGTAGAAAAAATACATAAAAATGAGTTATTAACGCGATTATTTTGCTATCATCACATATAGGATAGTAAATAAAACACTAAAAACCATAAATGCTCGACATTGTATTTGGAAACATTTACAAGAAACAATTGTTTATCGGTTGGTAACAATCCCACACCTCGTGTAGGTTGTTGGGGTGACGTTATTCTATCAACCTGTCATCCACTGTATCACTTAATTGGCAGGCCAATTAATACAATCGAATAATGAATTTAATTGGCTTGCCTATCTAAAATAAAATAATTAAAACATTAATGTTAATATAAAAGAGAATATTTTAAGTAATTTTAGTTAATAATAATACTGTCTATATTTTTATTTTTCTGATATAATCAATTTTTGATATAAGCTTTGTTTTATAAGAAACGCTCAGTGGATAACAGATCTAGATTTTTTACATTTCTTAGCACCGTTAGAACTAAATTAGACTAGATTTTATAATTTCAATATAGAATTTTGCTATTTACAAATTTACAATTATTTACAGTTAAACTTAAAAGAATAAATACATATTCAACACTTAGTTAAAGAAATTAAGTTTTTTTAGTTTTATTATCTTTTTAAATAAGGCGCCTATACATTAGAAATCTTTTGTAAATTAAAACAAGTTCTTAAATAAATTCTTGTAAAAATCTTATTTTTTCCATCCAATGGTTTCTAAAATATCGACGTACATTATTTTTTAATTTAAAACATTCATTTTTTCAATCCACTATTTTTACAACCTTTCAAACTTTGAGCGAAATTTACAAAGATAATAGCTATTTTAGGCCTCTCCTTGGTCACTTGAAATAATATGAAAATATAAGAAATGGAAACCTATTTTTTTTAAAGAAGTTAAAGAAAAGAATAAAGTCGTTACAATCGTAGCATTTTTTGGTATTTTTCTGGCTTATATTGCAGTATTATGGTAGCGCCAGGTTCGATTCCTGTCTAAAAATCCAAATAAATTAATATAAATAATAATTTACATAGCATCGTCACTCTTATTACTTAGAACAATATTTTCATTCACCAACGATAGTGAAATGTGGAGTTGTTAGAGACTTCCCCCAGAACTGATTAAATATTTTCAATACCAAGTTTTTTTTATTTCCTTTTTCTTTTTTAACTCGCAGACATCATATTTAAGTATAACAATATGTAATATATAAAATAACTACAAAGCCTATCAAAGAAATAGATATAAAGCCGTACACTTTAAAATATTACATGTTTTAGGCGCAATCGGTTACAAATGTATGGGAATTAAAATTTTATAGAAAAATTCATTGGAATGAAAGAAGTGCCTTATGTAAGAGGCATGCTCAAATCGTTTTCTTTTTGGATTGCTTTTAAATTGGTTCAATTTTGAACGAACCACGCGGAAGAACTATCGCAGCGCTAACTGTGGATAAATGTTGTCGCTCTATTTAACGACGTTGTCTGTCGGGCCATGAAACTAGCCAGCAAAAAAATATGATTTTTATGATTTTTAACTCCTGTTATGCTTTAGCTTTTATTTATTTTGGCAAATTTTTTAATATCACTTAATCGATTTCATTAAAATATACTTTTTATTAATTAAAATTTTCATGACATTTTTAAAACACTAATCTCAATACAAACAGCGCAACAAAAACCATGTATAATTTTTCCGTGCACTGCGGATTTATACGCGGTAGTTAATTATACATATATATAAATATAATTATATATATAAATATATATATAATTATATATATATATATATATATATATATATATATATATATATATATATATATATATATATATATATATATATAATTAACTACGTCACTAAGCCCGTGATTGAAATATTTTCCATAATATTAAATTTTACAGCCATGCAATTAATTACTAAGTAAAAAATCGCATTCTAAAACGTCTTTCTAACAGAGCAGATGTAGATATGACAGTAATAATAAACCAGTTATTCCCATTCCTTTTTTTCATAATAAAATAACACTTGTGTAGATAACGTGTTGATAAAATATCGTATTTTTTCAAATACATTTGTTAGCAAAGTAATATTAATTAGACAAATATTGAACATTGTAAAAGATTTTAATTTTCGATTTTCCTTATTTTTAATGAAGCTGATTATTTTCTTAGATTTACGCTAATACTTGACAGCCTCTCCCGTGGCCATGATTGCTGTAAAGCATTCAAAACGTCGGAAACAAAAATTAAATTCAATCCGCGAAAAATCTGTAAAGATATTTAAAATGCTATTATTTTTTAATTTTAAATGATTGGAAAGACTTTTTCATGTATTTTGAACGAAAGGAAAGTATTCGAAATCACAATTTCTACATGCTATTGCCTTTGGATTCACAATTACTGAGTAGCCGATTCTCAGAATTCCAAGATAGTAGAAACTATTAAAATGACTTAGTAAAATGCTACACTATACGCCCTATTATAATATAACAAACAAAAATTAATACTTTAGTAATAATAATACTGTAATATATTACATATGCTTATTTCATGACCTCACCAGATTTCTAGAGTCGTCGAATTTTCTGGAATCCCCAGTATCAATCATGCGACCTAATATTTGTTCGACGACATTCTACATATAAGTGGTAATTTTTTACCGACCGCTAAACATTTCGGTACTTGTGTCACCAAGTGATATTGTTAGCACGTTGGTGTTGTGAGCTTTCCCATGATTTAATATGAGCGTGGGATACTTTGGAAAGTATTTTATATAGTTTCTGCCTCACGTGCGTAGGTCTATTATGTATTATTATTTATTACGCCATCAAATAATTCTAACATTTCATTTAGATATGAAGAAGACCTTAAGCCTTAACTTTGTATCTGCTCCTATGATCAACAAAATCTGTTTAGACATTCTCCATTCTGAAAATTACATATAATTATCTCAAAATATATTTAAAACATACAATAATTTATACTATTTTACTATAAGGAAATGAATGTTATTGATTTTAACCCACAAGATGGAGCTTTCTAAGCTTTCGAGTGACCTAGGTTTTACCAACATTGATCCAAATAGAGATATTTTATGAGTCTATAGATACTTTTATGTACTATATATTTTTTAAATTATAAGAGGTGAACAAAATACAAATTTTTAAATAGAGTTCATATATTTTAGCAATTTATACTATCTTTTGTACAGGTCTGGCTAGTGTGCTTTAAATTCTCACTCGCAAGACAATATATCGTAAGTAATACGCTTTTTATATGCAAAATAATTCAAGTACGTATAGCGTAAAATATAAGAATTTCTTTTACAATTTGATATCGTTTCATTTCATATCTATAGACTCATACGTCGTGCTCTTAAATTTTAAGCAAATTGCCGACTAACAAGTGTACCTTAGTCTATACTTACATAAACGAGTAAAAAGTCAAATTTACAAAAGGTTAAACTATGAAAGGAACACAGTCAGTACTTATCTTAATAGAATATTTACATCGGAGGGTTCTAAAGCATTGTAATGGCTTCGTATCAATTAAACATTATTTAATATAATTTTAAGGATTTGAATTTCTGCCAAATGTTTTGATGTTGCTATTAAGTTAATTATTTTCTTAACAAATGTAACATAAAAATAACAAAAGCTTAATTTATTAGAAGTTACATAAATAACACTCGCAATATTAGTTTTTGGAAATTCAATAATTGTTTTTTAATTTTAGTAAACAATCACAATTGATCACAAAACTCTACAAAAACCAATTCGAGTTAATATTTAAAAAATATTATATACTTGCTATATAATAATATGGAAAATCAGACCATTACAATGCATCTATGTTATGTTTATATACAACTCTCTTGCACTCTATGGGAAGTAGTTACAACCTCGGGTCGGAGGCGGTGCGCTGTGAGTGACGACGTCACGCCCGAGCCCGGGCTGCACGCGTTCACGCCTTTGTTCACGCGGTTTAAACTATGATACGACTGGAATGTAAATGTTTATATTAGATAGGAATAATGCTTATCTATACAGATAAATAAAATTGAAGTGTCTGTTTGTAAAGTCAAAACAACAGCTAAATGCTTATGAAATTATATACGGTTACGTATAAGAAAAACACAATTTTTAAATTTTATGTCTGTCTGTTTGTTCTGGCTTATAACCGAAACGGTTGGATTGATTTTGACAGGACTTTCACTGGCAGATAGCTGATATAAGGAGTAAATTAGGAAACTTTTATTTTAGAAAAAGGCTTAAAAACTATCTTGCAACAAACAAGAGCAAAGCAAGATTGAGTAGCTAATACATAAATAAATTGTTTGATAAAATAGTACTAAAAACGTATGAACTATATGATATGATGTGATATAATATGTGTGATGGTATGATTGTTTATATTGGACAGAAATAATCCTTATAAATGAATGGATTACGTAGGAAAAACATGTTAGTTCTCACTTTTTTTGTTATTTAGTGGTATTTAAAGTGTTTAGTACTAGATAGCATATGGATAAAATAATGTAGATTTGAGAATTGAAAATTTTAATCTTATTATGCTGTATTGGACATAATTTTTGTGATAATCTGGATATACCTATATTAAATAGTTTACTTAATTTTTTCTTTTAAATATTGGTAAAGGAGATTTTTAGTACTATTTTAGTGTTAGTAAATATGAAATTGTATAATTAATTAAAAATATTCTTATATAATTTATAAAGTCGACCACGTTGTATGGATGAAGTGAAAAAAAAATTCTCTAGTAGCTGCTACTTAATGGAACAGAAACACCTTGGAACTGAACATTTCGAGCTAACAAAAACTTCGAAGAGCGAATCTCAAAGTCTTAATAAAATAACATTATTAGAGGGTAGTGTCGCATCATTAAGCAAAGTTCTTTCAAAAAGTGTTCCAGAAAAAAAATATGAAAGTCATTTAAATGCTTGGCCCACATAACACTAATTGTGGCTGGTTCGGTAAAATGGAGTGTTGACCTAGTCTCATTCTGAATAAGTGAGCATACAGTATATATTGTATTTACGTTGCCGTTGTGTTCTACATAAAAGTCACTTCATTCCAGATGAAAACATGCTTCATAGTGCACATAATTGCGTTTTTTTATTTAAAAAAAGCTTCGAATTGAATAGTCTTGCAAATGAAGAATTGGTGCTTTGAAAAGTTCTTTTGGTTGTTTGTTTTAGAACCGAATTTTCGTTGAATTCTTGTTTGTTGCATGATTAAATAAAAGCCAATTAATGTTTATATTTAATTTTTTTCTAATTTTTGACCAAGTTCAAAAAATATGAGTTTAATTTAAGTGTTATTATTTTTATTTAAATTATAGTAGCGATATCTTATGGGATTCAATATAAAATTATAAACATTACACACTTCTTACCATTTGGCATTTACGAGTATGTAAAAATTTTAACATATTCGCTTGATTATTCCTTAAATATTCAACAAAAAAATTATTCTGAGAAAATATCTATAAATTCTTATATTATCACACAAAAATAAACAGTTCTGTGAGAGATAGTGAAAGAAATTTTTATGATTTTTTTATGCGGAGGCTACAATTTCCTTAGTATTTATCCAATTAAATGTACACCAAATGAAACTTACACTAGTCAATGGTATTCTATAATCCTTTTTCCTGAAGTCAGCGTAATACCCGCCACCATCTGGTTCTGAGCGGGCGTCGTCACTAACTTCCCGCATTTTACTGTTGGACGGCGGTCGTTGGAGACTCATGTACCCATTTGATACTGGTCTTCGCTCTGCTTAAATAAAATATTTATTCGTTTTTTTCTGTACTAATACTATTTAAAAAAATAACGAGAAAAAAATACTAATGCGTACTAGCATTGCCCTTCATCACCCGCGTTGTTTAAATGCTCTTAGGGGGCTGTATTAGTCCAGTGGTAACGCGTTCGCTTGGAAAACCGAGTGGGGGAGAGGGGGGAGGGGTTATGGTGGATAAAAAATTGAATCTTTAAATCTTTTTGTCTTAAGAATTGGCTGTTCGATTTTGAAAATTCTTTTAGAGTTGGAAAACACATTAAATGACAAAAATTATACGCTATATTAAAGTGAAGGAAAAGCGTGAAGCACAACTAGCTTCATATTTTTTGGAAAATCTTATTGAAATACCTAGTAATTATTATCGATATAGAGGCCGAATCTACAGTTTCTAGAATTTTAGTCTGGCTATCTGTCTGGGAAAGTATCACGAGAAAACCACTGGACAGATTTTGATAAAATTTGGTATGATGATAGCTGTTATACGGGTCAACATATAGGATACTTTTTACTGCGGTAAAATATCTCATCTCTGAGAAATCTATATTAAACGTAAAAACGTAACTAGGGACGAACTCGAGCGGAGCGACGGTGAATCGCTAGTTTTATTACATTACAAAGTGGCGTAATACGTTAGTATTAGGTCGATCCTTGAAGGATTATATTATGCACATAAAACTTTTCAAAGCGTAAAAAACCATATCGCAATACCTACTTAGAAATTTATATTATACGGGAATTGAGCTCGGAACTGCTGACGCAATCCATACTTATACTTACAAATAATTTAATGTAAAATTAACTTTGTCTGTCTGTAATTTTTTCTTGTTGAAACCACTGAACAGATTTTGATTAAATTTGGCAGAGACATAGATTGCATCAAAGGGACGAGCAATGACCACATTTAATCCCCGTCGCTCTGTGAAACCGCGGGCAAAATTAATTAATAATAAGTAACAAAAACACTAACCAATCAATTAAAATATTCTTAAAAGCAATTTTTTCTAAGAAACACTTTAAATATTAATGTTGACAAAATTCTCATAATTATTATGAGAATTTATTATATAAATTACTATCACAATATTATTTGTAATAAATGTAGCAAATAAATTAAATGTAATTGTTTTATTATATCTGTATTATTGATATACAAAAACTCAAGATACATAATTAGCGTCTCAAAAGTGTCCTCAAAAGGAAGCGCACTATTCGACATTTTGCGCTTATTACAAAAAAAATCTTTTATTAATTGCTTTTCTGGTGACAAAATTAAAATGGACCATTGTTTCGTTTAAAAAAGTACTTTATATTGTGTGTAAAAATTCGAATTTGGGTTTAGATAGTTAGAACTTTCGATTTTTCTATTTTATCTTTGGTCATTTTTTGATTAGATATTTGTTAGGAAATCTGTATCTATGTTACGTAATATATTTTGCCTTATTACCAATATCTGTAAAATTTTACTGGATTTTTTTCCTTATACCTACATGCTTTTTTGGTGTGGAAATTATTATAATAGTAATGTTTCACCGACTTTGAAAAGGAATAATTCTCAATTCGGTTACATATTTTCCTATGTAATTTACGTGATATTTTCGCTTGATTGAATCAATGATAAATTTCTTTGAGTTCAAGATTTTCAAAGGTCTAATTTTTATCATTACTGGCCAAATTAAATAAGATATATTTGCAGGTCCATAAAGGGCGATAAAATATAATGATTACATAATAACATTATTTCTTCATGTAACATTAAAATACTCTAATTCAAAGGATATTTAGTTAATGAGCTTCATAACTTACCATATAAATTCGGTATGATATCCGGATCGGCGTCGTCTGTGGGGTCTGGGTCAGGAGCAGTACGGACTTCGGCTTTGACTGGAGTACTGCATTGACCACTTCGTTCCGCATACATAGATTCGCTAATGAACAGAAATTATGTATAATTATATATTAGACCACTTCGTGATTGAAAATCCACTATAACTTATTAAGTTTGAACGTTATTAAGGTTCCTTTGTCAAAATTACATACGTATTCTTTAACCGTTGCCAAAAAGGCCTTTTTAATATAAACCGATTTTTTTCAAATAGGATCTGTAGTTTTAGAGATTAGTACGTGCCGACAAACAAACAAGCTTTTCAGCTTTTTATACTAGTATAGCAAAGCCTGGGACCAATAAAGTCAGTAAATTTTAGCTTTCTTCATATAAACTTAAAGCCAAAGCTCATAAGCTCAATATGCTTAAGTTAAGTTAGTATTGAGTACATTTTCTCTTCACTTATTAATATATAATAGATTATATTTATTATTATTTTTCAAAGCATCGAATTATAGATTTAAAAATCATCAAGACGTATCTATTGCCAAGGGGAATCGCATGTCAGTCTATTTAAATAATGAATAAAAATTATGTTTTACATTCTATCTAATGTAGAAATAGGTATTTCGGTCGTAATAAAACGAATGCCAAGTCAGTTAATCTATTGCTTTGTACTAAAGGTTCAATTCAACATAAAATTCTTTGATGACATTTCGGTATTTAATTCGGTCACGAGATGACCTTTACTTAAAGGTGATTGAGATAACAATCTTAAAATAAGCCCAAAAACTTCAAAGATAATTTTCAGATACAGATTATAAATAAATGGTATAAAATAAAGTTAAAAAACCTTTTTATAGTTTACTTTCGCCCGGGTTCGTCCCTAGTTTTACGTTCTACGTTTTAACGTTTAGTATAGATTTCTCAGAGATGAGATATTTTCCCGCAGTAAAAAGTATTCTATATGTCGACCCTTATAACCAACTAACATCATACTAAATTTCATGAAAATCTGTTCAGTGGTTTTCTCGTGATGCGTTCCCAGTCAGACAGACAAAAATTCTAAAAATTATAGATTCGGCGTTCGTATCGATAATATGACTAGTTCAATAAAATTTTCCAAAAAATATTTAATGTACAGATTCGACTTAGTTACAGTTTTATTATATGTATAGATAAATTAAAACTAGAAAAATGTAGCTAATGTTAGTTTTAGATTATAGGCGGCGTACCTTTTGGAAAAAATTATAACCTACTAAAAAAATCATACTATTTGTTATTACCTATTAACAAAATCATACTATTTGTTATTCCATATCTGTTAGTCTATCATCTCTGTACTGTACATCAAAATCAGTGCAACCGTTTTATCTTGACGAAGTAACAAACTTACATACGCATACACACTTCTGCACAATAATAACGTGATAATTTCAAATATTTATATACATAATATAATAAATATTAATAACGTATTAAATCAATGTGTTAAGAAGGAAATTAAGAATCAGAACGGATGAAAAATTTAATTTACATTAAATATGTAGATTGACTATAGAAATCTTAATTTTCATTACATAGGTATAAATGATTTTAATAAAAAATTTAACACTTTATTGTCCCACATGTAGCTCAAGAAAAAACTTCCACATTCAGGATTAAATACAAACATTTAAATTGATTTCAATTCCGTGCCTTTTTTGGTAAAAATACATAATTGAAGACCGAGAGAGATGTTGCATCCTTTTTACTGCAAATTAAATTGGATGCTGTATTAGAATCTAGATTTCGCTAACAGATGTAGAACAATTCGGTACGCCAGTGAGGCGAAGCCCAAATCTTTTAATCGGCTCAAACCTGTATCGAGCTAGTTTTGGTCTAGCTATCACATACCTGTTTTCCGTTTAGGACCAATTTCAATTGTATCTATAGTACTTGTAGATGTACGAATTTTGTTTCGGTTGTACATACTAGTACAATAGTGGTTATTTATTACATATATGCAATGAGAAGGCTTCTTACTAATTTTAATTTACACCGACGATGCATACAATGAAATATTTACTTACATAACCTATATACATAAATTTACCCTTATCGTAAATAGAATATCGGATTTTTACTCTTATTACATTATAAAAAAATTGCCTATTTCAGGATTCGAACCTGCACCCTAATAGGTGCAGGTTCGAATCTTGAAATATATATTTTATACCCGAAAATAATGACTTACCTTAGAGGTGCATGTTTTGCAGGCAAATGTCGATGTCTGTTCACATGTCGCTTGTACAGTATAGCAAGGATCCCACATACCGCTGTGGCAAGCAACGCCGACATGGCCGCTATGGAGGCTACTACTGGTGACATTCCCAATGAGCTACTTTCACCTGTTAAATAACTTATGTTATTAGCTATTTTATATTTTAAACTAATTTATTTAAGAATCTATCACTACTTCCGAATACGGTAGTATTTTTAAAATCTAATTTTTCTAAAAAAAAAACTTACAGATATCGAATCGATACACCGAAATCGAACATGAGACTATTAACTCTATAAGCAATAGAAACGCTGTCGAAATTCCCAAATAAAAGTCACATTTCAATAAAATAATTAATAATTTAGTTCTTTTATTGGTCCATATTATCTATGTATATATATATACGAGAAGAAAAACTTTGTACCCCTTTTTACGAAAATTGCGCGGACGGGGAGTATGATTTTTCTCACGCTTATAGTTTATATAGAGTAGAAGTGCAAAATGCTAATATTTTTTTTAAATTATGCATAAAAAATACATTAAATCAATTAAAAAAACATTACACACACTACCATGTATTTCACACACAGACGCATATACATACCTATACTCTTTTGTTTATTGTTCAAGTTTGTGATCAAATTGAGAATAGATTAATATTGTTTGTAATTTGTTTTTAAATTCTTTTGGATTTTATAGGCTACTAGCGGCTCACCCTCGCTTCGCTCGGGTTCGTCGCTAGGTACGTTTTAAATAGATATAAAAAGAAAAAATCTTTCTTTCTCACATTTTAATTATATGTTTTAATACTTACCTATTCCGGACTAAGAGAAATCCAAAAATTAAAATATCATAAAAATTGGAACGCGGTCGAACGGGATAAAAAGTATCCTATGTCCTTCTCCTGGCTCTAAACTACCTCCCTGCCAATTTTCAGCTAAATCGGTTCAGCCGTTCTTGAGTTATAAGCGAAGTAACTAACACGACTTTCTTTTATATATATAGATTTAATATTTATTATTTATATAACTTTAAAAAAAAAATCTCAATTACGATCAAACTTAATGAATATTTATAATTATGTTTGCTTTTCAACCACGAGTTGATCACTAGTAATATTTAGTTGCGATTGTATATAAACATTACTCGAAAATAGCACGTTTGTACCATGCGTAATGATAATTATAATTGTCAGTTCATGACAAGGACGGTTAACGACAGATTCCCATGTGTGAGAGAGATAGAATATACAGAAAATCGACTTTACGAGAACAATTTCTATTTCGTAGATTTCATTACTAGGTTTTAGTTTTACGTATAAATGGGTGATGGTTGGTAGAGTGAATGTATGACCGAGTTAAATGAAGTAATGGGATAGAGTATTATATATACTATTATGGTATATGGTATATGGTATATGAGTATTATATATACTGGGATAGAGTAGTATATAAACTGAAGTGACGTGGAGTGACTTTGATAGTGGAAGTAGTGACGTAAAATTTTGCTCAGGAATTGAATTAAGCCTTTATTGCGTCTATTCCTCAGATGCACGTACATTTTTGAAATTTATCCTATCCATATACCCTTCTCATTTAACCTATACGTAAATCTATCTATACTAATATTATAAAGAGGTAAAGTTCGTGAGTTTGAAAGCTTATGACGTTTTAGGGGGTAATCTTTGGATCTACTGAACCAATTTAAATGATATTTAATTAAAAAAAAATTTGAGACCCTGGGAAGGACATAGGATGGAGTGAAAATTGGGATGAAAGTTTCTATTGGGAAGCCAAGGACGAACTCGAGCGAAGCAAGGGTGAGTCGTTAGTAGTAGATAATTCGGACTACTATTTACAAAAGTTTGTATGCGTACTTAATTTAAATGAAATTTAGTACATAGATAGGAAAACTAGAAAAACACGTCGGGTACTTTCAGACCTATAGTCAGTCAACCGGTAGCTATCGTGATTACAAGTTGCTTGAATTACTTATCCCAGAATCAAAATTTGTAGCTACACTATGTAATGTAAATTATAGTAAAATTGTGTTCAGCCCTTTTTAAAGTCCCACTGCTGGGCACGGGCCTCCTTTCAGTACGAGGGGGATCAGACCATAGTCCACCACGCTGGCCAAGTGCAGGTTGGCGGACTTTACATGTCTTTTAAAAACTTGCTAGGTACTCTCAGACATGCAGGTTTTCCCACGATGTTTTCCTTCACCGTTAAGACAAGTGGTAATCATGTTGGAAAATGATTCACACATGAAAATATCAGAGGTGCGAGATCCGGGATTTGAACCCGCTTCACTGCGGTTTCCCTAACGAGCGCGTTAGCACTGGGCTACCACTGCCATACTAAAATTATATTAATGTATTTCACTTGGAACTCATATTCATTATTACGAGTTAACTAGAAATGTCCTAGTTAACAGAAGCTTACATTTATAGCTGAAGTTACATTCTCAAAATTTTCGTTAAGCTTTGTGTAACAAAAACTACAGGATAATATGTATGTGATAATATCTAAACATTAAACAAAAATATTAAAGAGAAATAATATTTTGTATTGATAATTGTTTTATAGATATTTTTTATTGCTTATTAAAAATGAAACATATATCGGCAAAGGTGGACTTATCTCTAGAAGAGATATCTTCTAGCTTAGCTGTGAAATTTTAGTGTTATTTATTATAAACGACTAGCGACTCCCTTCCCCCGTTCGTCCCTAGGTTGATTCCACATACAAACTTTCGTCCCCATTTTCACCCCCCCACAGGACATGATTTCCGGGATAAAAAGTATACTATAGCCTTCCCACGGTCTCAAACTATCTTCTGGCCAAATTTTATTTAAATGGGTTCAGTAGATCCATAGATTATCCCCTACAACCTAACAAACTCACAAACTTTACCTCTTTATAATATTAGTATAGAGTTTCCTTAAGTGTTTGTGTGTGTTAATTTTCTCACTGCTGTACTACAAGTACATTTAAGTACTGACAAGGTGTAAAATATGTCTTAGATAGCACTGGTTCAACATCGACATAGCCTGCTATGAATACCCTGCGTTTCATATCAGCGTTTCGTGCTAAGCATTCAAAGTACTAGGTTAATTATGCTTTCATATAGCTATTTCTATATAAAGTACATAGTATTATGATGACTGTATGTCTAAATTTTAATTGATGCTTATTTATGCTATATCCATACTATAATTATATTACTATAATATAATATTATGAATGTGAAAGTTTGTATGGATATATGAATGTTTGTTACTCTTTCACGCCAGAACGACTTAATGGATCTGGATGAAATTGGGCACAGAGATCGATTATAGTCTGCAATAACACATAGGCTACTTTTTATCCCGAAGAAATGTATGGTTCCCGTGGGATAGATTTGTTTATGTTTTCCGATCCGTATTCGATCCGATCAATATTTGTGTAATTAATTTTATAATAATCGTAATTTCCTTTTTTTCATACCATCTTCGTAATCGTTTAAACGTTTTTTTTAGCATTTTATAAGTAAAAAATATATAGTATAAAAAAACCGGAGACATACATACATACACGTTTAATCTTTGCTGTGAAATATATAAAAAACAATTCTAACTGCATGAAACTATGTTGCTTCGACAAATTCTTTTGAAAACTATTTATATTTTAAAATGGTATGTTTCTAAAAAGATACGTTGAGTAGTTTTTGACATATGGGATACTTTTAAAGTAAAAAAAAAATACGTATCTTAAATATATACATACATAAGTTTAATATTTCATGCTACGGAACCCTCGATTTGTGAGTCAGACACTCACTTGCCCGATTTTTTATTTAAAAATATTTCAATCAAGCGATGTCAAGAGAATATCAAAGACATTCAATGAGCCTTTCAAATGAACCTTTTCCTGTACTTGTTTACTCCCTCATATAAGAGTTCGTTTGCATACTGTGAGCCATCAAACGCTCAATCAACGTACTTTAATGAAATTTTAACAGTCACAAACTAAGTAGTTACTCAATTACGAATGAAAATTAAAGTTTCACTTCAAAATTTGCATTAAAAATGGTAATAAAGTTCAAAAAATCGCGAGCATAACTAGCGGTGGTGAAATCAAAACTCCTTTTAGTGCCTAAGTGAGTAAAGAGTTACCAAACACGCGAGCTAAATTAACCCTATTTGAGAGTTTTTAATGAAATTGTTTGGAAAGTAAAGCTAATATAAGTAACTTGACGAGTTTTAATGAAAAATGAAGTGAATATTGCTATCATCACTTATGTTATTTTAGAAAGAACAGTTCATAAAAATTTAAAATTAGAAATTCACGTTGTATAGATGTTCTTAAAACATTACCGAATAAAAGGACTGAGCATTGTTTTTAATTTGTTACTTTTCATCGTCAATATTGATTTTTTCATCTTATTTTAAGTGTATAGCGTATAGGTCTAGACACATTCGTTGGTGACTTTACAATCTAATTCTGGAACCGACCGCAAGCAGACCAGGTGTACGTCACGACACATGGACGGTTGTCGCTTTCGTGCCGTCTGACTCCTTTATCGGAAAACCTAAAAATGGAAAGCTATCCAGCCTATCAATGATATGAGTAATTAATTTAAATTGTAAATTATTAACACAATCTAATGGGTGAAAATAAAATAATTGGACATACAAACATTATTATACATAATTTTAACTAGAACATGTCCAGTTAACTGATAATTGAAATTGTGAGTTCCAAGAGAAAAATCCATGCTGACAATATAGTTTATTCATATACATAGCTTGTGACATTTTATAACCTATTATACTCCATACAAATTAAACTTGTACTTTCAGAGAGGGCGTTCAAACAAACAAACACACAAAAAATGTATAGGTCTATATAGGTAAATATTATTAGCCATTTTAATTTTATATACATTTTATTACACTATTATTACATAGCAGATGAAAATAAAACCTAGCTATTTCAATTCTAAGTATTATTTTTCATTCATTCAGATCGGCAGTGACAGTAACTTACTGTTCAACAGTAAGTAATCTCATGCCTTAACTAGGTTTACAGCACGAAGATAGCGTATTTTAATATACAATTTTATACCTTTAACACGTTCACTGCGTCATCATTTTGAAAGAACTTTCAGCTGGTGCTTTGGAGGCCTAAAAGATCTCGAAACTAGCCTACCCTTTGGTGCGTTAGAGACCTAATCAGTCTCCTAAAAATACAGTTTTGAAAATAATTTATATCTTCCAAAAAACTAATGACATATATTTTAAAGTTTTTGTGGGTCAAGAGAGCCTATTGCTCTACATTTTGCTAGGTTCGCACGCAGTTATGACATTAGAATAAGCTACAAATACCAAAAAAAAATTAGATATCGATTGTATCTCGTACCGCAACCGAAGATAGTTCAATATGTGTAGTAAGTAGTGATGGGAATAAAATAATATCTCAGTTGTCGATTGAAAAAGTTTTATTAAAGAAGTATTTATAAATTATGCAAAGTGTTTTTCATTAAAACATAGTAAGCACATTGATTATTTGCATTGCGCGCAAATGCAGTGCTGTTTAATGTGCGTCGTAATTTTTCATAACAACCCACACAACGTCTTTTTTGTCGCCACGTTGGAAAACATGATCTGTACATCTTCCTTCGGGGAATTCCGTAATAAAAAGCATTATATTTTCCAAAATTGTAATTATACTGGACGATGCAGCACTATAATCCAGCGTTGATTTTTCATTCTTAGAAATCTCACCAAAATAAAACAATTTTATTAAATAATTAAATAAAATATATTAAATAAAATTTTTTTAACACTTTTTCGAAACGTGCGCGCAACCTCCCACGTCGACACTAGGACAACACTAAATCGATTCACACAGCGCCCGCGCCCCCCAACCTCCCTTTCTTGCGTCTACGAGGCGTACGATTCCACGAGTATCGACATGTCTCCTAACGCAAGGAATAAAAATAATTATACTACTGTGCGTTAGGGACCTAATCCATCTCTATTCATTAATATGACGTGCTATAATAAATTCAATGTCAAGGATAACGCCAAAGTGCTATTTCATAATACCTATTTCTGTGAACGGCGTGTTTGAATTAAGCCGTTCATTCCGCATTATAGCGTGACTCAGTTACTCAGATTATTACTAAAATTTGCGGCTATATTGACTACTACATAAATAACGAAACAAGCGAATCTTGATATTATACTGAAATTGTGTAATATTATTGCATTCATTGCCTAATAAAAAACATACAATATATTTTTGGGAATTACAATTGTTCTGCTTGTGGAAAGGATCCATGGAAAGTTAACTTATAGAATTTTCAAGCAAAGCTTTGGCAAGTACATAGTTATTATAGGAAATATGACGTGAAGGAAGTGAAACCTCCTGTAATTTAAATGAACTGTGAGTAAAACATATGTATAAAAAATTTGAAGGTTTTAAATTTTTACGTCTAATATTTTTGTAATCGATCTAGTTATTTTGGTTAGGCTAAGACAATTACAGATCGTAAGAATGATGGAGAAAGAACAAGGTTTAATAGCAGGTTACTTTGCTTTGTTTACTCCAAAAGAGGAAGTATGGTCGCATAAGATAGTATAATCAAAAAAAATATAACAATATATTTTATAACCAAAAAGGAAATATCGCTTTTTGGGTGTAAATCACTGCCTTTCCACAACACAATCCCCCATTCAATATGAGACGGATACGTCATAATTTACCATGCTGGAAACCATGTTCTGGTAATATATACATAGAATAAAATTGTAAATAAGCCAAATCTGTACATTAAATATTTCTTGGAAAATCTTATTGAAATAGACATTATTATCGATACAGAGGCCGAATCTATATTTTTTAGAATTTTTGTCTGTCTGTCTGTTACCGCATCACTGAAAAACCACGAGAGGGATTTTGATAATATTTGGTATGATGATAGATGGTTGTCCGGGTCACCATATAGAATACTTTTTATCGCGGTAAAATATCTCATTTTTGAGAAAAAAAACAAAAACTGCAACGTAAGAGTATACTAATATGTAAAACCTAAGAATTTGGTTTTTGATCATCTGAACGCGGGCGGAGTAGCGGACAATGCTAGTATAATATACCCATTACCTAATATAGAATATAGCGTAGCGGTTATCACATGTTTTTGAAAAACCAGTTATGTTTTCCTTAAAATGTAATGTCTTTCAAGACAAACACATGGTAATCAATAAATAATGGCTCGCACATAAAAATCTCAAAGGATCAAGTATCGAACCCGTTTCATTTGGTTTTCCACGAGCGCGTTACAATTGAGTTGCTACTACTGAATCTTGAGCGAATTATTAAATAACGTTATTGCATTAATAAATTGAGGAAAAAATAGCTTTACCGTAAATCAACGAACAATAAAATCTGACTTTTATATTTTCATATATATATTTTGTATTCCATATCTTTTTAGCGCCTTCTACATTTTCGCCTGCCATTATATATAATAATATGAGTCTTCAACATTATCGTATTTTTTTATGTATGAATACATACAAAATATATTTTTTTATGTACTTTACATTCTGCTAACAGTGTAATATGCTAGTATATCCCCAATCAGTTTCCTACGTCTAATCCTACTTTTTATACTATTCTTTATTTACTAATATATAATTAAAGCAATATTTCCATTTGAATTATTTTTTTGTGAAAAAATAGTTTATAATTATGTGTCTAATCTATATTTTGCATAAATATTAAAACCCATTAAGTGTCTGTTTTTTTACAAAAAATATGTAACCCTTATATTATTATAATATAGCCATAGCCGTAACAACACATATTATAATATAGGAAATTGCCTTGTGTCGATGTGCGCGCCCCATCTTTTGAATAATGCACATTAGATCAACAAAGTTTCGTCGCATTTGTGTACATACGTAATTTAATATAATTTGAGAAACATAAACGTTATCAGATTATTAGACGTAGAAAAAACAATGTATAGATATTATGATTATAACTAACTAGATCTTAAATAAAAATTATGTCATCGGATTTTTTCGCGGATTTATTTAGATTTTTGGTTCCCGATATTTCGAATGCTTTACAACAATCATGGTCATGAGAGACTAAGACTTAGTAAAATTTTATTTCGAATGTCAAATATTCACGTAAATCAAAAAAATATTCTAACTTTATTACATACATACGCTTCTAACTTAATACCTACTTACGAAATCATAACGCTGCAGTAAAAGTCATACAAAATAATACTTTTGTCTGTAACAAGTATATAACGCCTTTGTCTACACGTAGACGTCTAAAACCTTGGTCTCTTCCGTGACCATGATTGCTGTAAAACATTCGAAACGTCAGGAACCAAAAATCTAAATAAATCCGCGAAATAATCCGAACAGATAGTTTTGTTTAAGATATTGTACAAAATACTTACCAGTAAACTTAGCTTGTCCTTTTAACGTGACAGTCTCTATAGTGGAGACGTCACTTCTCCCCTTCGCATTAACAGCGTATAAGTCTATCCTGTAGCTGACACCGGGTGGGAGGCCACGGATTTCGAAGAATGGAGGTGTTCGATTCGTTGAAACGTTGTATCGGACCTGACAATGTAAATATAGTAGTTAGAATAAAGTACAGAATGTGAAGGAAGATATAAAGGATATATTTAGTCAAAAATTGTTTTAAACCACTAAATATGTTTCTTATTTCTTTACAGCTTAACGTTTTTGCATTGCAACTTGATGTGAAGCTTATATCCTGATTTAAGTCCTACAGGAAGTTCAAAGATATCCTTCTCACAACCTTCAGTATTGGAGAAGAAAGGTAGACTGAAGAAGTTTTTAGACCTATATTGAGCAAGAGTATATATGACGTGACGTTTTACTTTGTTTTAAATAGACCTTCATGTAATCGATGTAAGCCCTGATACCATACGTTAAATCCATGACTGTTTGATCATGGTTTTTGTAGTAGCTGTAAATTTTCTACAATATAATATCTAAAATTCATACCGTAAGTGAAGGCAGTTCAAGCAATTCCATGAGGAAAGTCTGTGGCAGACCACCATCGAAGTTCTCAACACACTCTACGTATAGAGAATCTAGGCTTTGATTCGCCACTGTGCAGTTTTGGAGGTGGAATGGACGACCTAAAAATAAGAAAGCATTATATTTTTTGTTTTGTAAACGATATAATGTTATGTATGTATTTCGCTTATAATTGCTGACTTAACTGTTTTTTTTTTGTTAAATATATTCTAAATAATTGTAGCAACATCTTTAAGTTTGTCTAAGTATATGATAATAATTCAGCTATTTCAAAAGCTTGCTACACAAGGATCTTCTCTCAGTGCTTGGTCAATATTAGATCATAGTCCACCACGCTAGTCAAGTGCAGACTGGCGAACTTCAATAATGTTGCAAATGACATTTAAATATCAAATAAATTTAAAAGGTTAGAACTTACTGAAATTTTGGATTTAAAACCGCTCATATTCTTTTGCCTAAGCGAGTATTTTTCTACTCTACCACTGCTATCAAAAATCCTATAAACTACATACAACCACGAAACTAAAAGCCTTGTTTACTAAATAAATTCAATAAACCAGTCCAGTTAACTTTATAAAACCAAACCAATCCACTAAAAGGTTCAATTACCTGCTGCAACCAATTGAAAGAGGCAAGGCACCTTCTGCTGACCGACCGCATTCTCTCCATAGCACGCTAGCGTCCCATATTCCATGTCAGTAGTCGGTGTGTAATTCAGTGTGGACGTGTGTCCGTGACTGCTGTACAGTCTGTGTGGAAACAAAAATATTGTTTGTTTATATCTCTTCATTTTTCACCAACTTCCAAAAAGGAGGAGGACTAGATTTAACGACATGGCTCAGTTTGTAGTGACTACTTGCTGTGCCAGCTGTCGCGGGTTTGAGTCCCGCTGGGGGCATTCATTTATGTGATGAGCACGAATGTTTGTACTCCAGTAAGTTAATGTATAATGTATTTATATTAAATGAAAACACACCTTCAGTTATTTTTATTACTTTGAAGCTTTTTGAAGTCGATTTTTATTTTATTTTTATATTTTTATCGTTTCCATTTTACCAGTTCTATTTATGACATGTACGTAGAATTCAAGTGAAAATTGGTTTATTTAAGTTCGAGTATCAGCGATTACCTTTGTTATAGTAAAATATACTGTATTTATTACTATGTTTTTTGTTACTAAATTCAGTATTCAGTAAACCAAAGATTAAAGGTATCAATTTAATATAATTTTTCAATAAAAAGGTTCCTTATCAAAATTCCTTCAAAAATAATAATTCTTTCACACTTAGTATTTTTTTAATTATATATAGAACTAGCAGTGCCGGCGGCATCGCCCGCGTTCAGATGACCAAAAACCAAATTCTTAGGTTTTACATATTACTCTTACATTGCAGTTTTTGTATTTTTTCTCAAAAATGAGATATTTTCCCGCGGTAAAAAGTATCCTATATGTTGACCCAGATAACCAGCTATCACCATACCAAATTTCATCAAAATTCCTCCAGTGGTTTTTCTGTGATGCGGTAACAGACAGATAAACAGACAAAGAGACCAAAATTCTAAAAAATACGGATTTGGCCTCTGTATCGATAATAATATTTATTTCAATAACATTTTTCAAAAAAATAATAATTTACAGATTCGGCTTAGTTACAATTTTATTATATGTATAGATTTATTCAATTTTGTAGTATATAATATGTTAATTAAAAGAAGTATCACAAAAATTAATTTAATATTGGCAAAGATATTGACACATAAACAAAATAAAACAAACAAAAACATATAACTATCGTAACTTTGGTGATCTGGTGAGTTTAAACTAAAAACCAGATAAAAAAATGTGTTATTATAAAAAACTTTAGATTTTATACATACCTAGGGGGTATTTCTGTTTGTTCCCCAGAATTATTGAAAGTCCAGTGGAAGGAGACCAGCGCTGGGTTAGCGTCAACTGAACAGTGAAGAGACACAGTTTCGTGTTTGAGAGCTCCGAAAAGCTCATTATCTCGTCTTTCCGCGCATACTGGAGCATCTAAAGAAGTAAAATATATAAGTTAGTTCTAAGATATAATAGATTCCAGATATTTTTGGTTTAATTGACAATAACTCTCCTGTTCTTAACAAGACGTTTGGCTCAGTTTGTAGTGACCATACTTGCTATGTGGGCGCGGATTCGAGTCCAGTCATGGGTGTTTATATTTATAATATGTATGTATTTAAAATTATATATGTGTAGGTTATCAACTATCTGGTATCTACTAGATGGTGCTGTGTGTTAATGTTTCAACATATATAAAAGAAAACTATATCACATTTCTTCTGCCAAGATTCAGCGGAGGGAAAAAAATAGAATGGACAGTGGCCGTCTTCCCATTATTTACCCCAAAAGTTAATAAAATATGACTAATCGCATTTGTATTTTACAAACAAATACCTATAGTTAAAATAAAATCTTATTCTTTCAAATTTTTTACTTTCTGTTTTTTTTTCACGACTTTCGTTTTTTTAATACAATATTTTTAGTATTTTATAATGCTTGCATGTTTAACTTTAAGGTATTGGAGTTTCATTATAGTGGCTTTTTAGTTGTTTTAATTGTCCATACAACCAAAATAAATGGAAAGTTGTCATTAACCGTTAAATTAAATAATAAAATGTTATTTCATACATAAAATAATAACTAAAAAAAGTTATTAACAAAAAAATAAAAACCGACTTCAAACAAAAGCACTAAAAAGTAAAAAATAACTGATTGGTAGTTTTCATTTACTATACATACCTAATCAAATATTTTCGAAGTCGATGTGCTTTGGCTAAGTGATTAAAGGCTACCTATTAAATACATACCTAATCAAATATTTTCGAAATCGGTGCCAGCCCATACAAAGCAAAGCACACCGACTTCGAAAATATTTGATTAGGTATGTATAGTAAATGAAAACTACCAATCAGTTATTTTTTACTTTTTAGTGCTTTTGTTTGAAGTCGGTTTTTATTTTTTTGTTAAAAAAATTTTATTTTCCCTTTTTAGTATAGACAGTAGTAGCAAAGTAATAATTCTAAAGTGTTAGGCTTGTCAAACCAAACAAAATAAGCACAAACTCAAAGTATCTACTATTAGTCGTTGAGAATTGTGAGAGTATTAGTAGTTGAGAGATTAGAGTTCCACCTATCCACCTTCTGGCCTTACCATCAGATCAGGTCAACAATACCGAACTACTGTACTATCAACGGAAATAGAAACACTTGCAAAGTTTCAAGTCAATATGACAATTAGAAGTAGGTTAAATTCATTATTATCTTTTTTTCCACGCTTAGGGGTGGTATTTTTTTTTTGAAATTTAATGGGAACAATGTGAAAGTATACCCTTTCAAACAAAACAAAAATTGTCCAAATCGGTTAATAAATGACGAAGTTCTGAGGTAACAAACATAAAAAAAATACAGTCGAATTGAGAATCTCCTCCTTTTTGAAGTCGGTTGAAAACAAGTTATAATAAGATATTGTTGAATGTAATTTCTCAAAAAAGGCTATTCGAGAAAACGATCTCAATTTACATTTCATTAAAACTTACCACGGCCGAAGCAAATAAAGTAATTTTATAAAGATTCACGATTCCTAACAAGAGCTAGCTAGATTTAGCGGTAGGGTAAAAGTTATGCTCGATAAAACAAGCCAAACTATTGAAGTACCTGGATTGATAACTGTAGAGCTCTCAAAACGTAGAAGTTCTAAGTAATCACTTTATCGGATGTTTTAATTAGGCAAAGAATGAATTTGTATGGTAAAATATTTTTCTAAAAAACATACCTGCGCGCTTGTGTGTGTGTTTGTGTGTGTTTGTGTTTTCGTGTATGTGCGTATATTTTTTTTTTTTTATTTATTTATTTATTTATTTATATCAACAGCTTATTGTACACACAACAATAAACAGTACTTTATAAACAAGTATTTAAAAGTCAAGTTAACAATGTTTAAGTAAACACTATCCTCCGTACTAGTTTAACTGTATGACGGTAGGATAGTATACTATGTGTTATATCATAAAATGATTTACAAAAATTAAAAAACCGACTGTGAAAAAAGCGAACTAAAAAAAATGGGATCAAGTTGACATAGTACTATGCAGGTGGAGAAATATTTTATATAGGTACTTATCACGAGTCTTGTTAAATGTATGTACAATGTACATAATATAGATCAAACACATAACCATCCTTTGGGCTTTGCCACAATCAGGTAAAATAGCCTACGTATAAGGTTCATAAAATTCTGAGTCGAATCTGTACATTAAATATTTTTTGGAAAAACCTATTGAAATAGTCATTATTATCAATACAGAGGCTACATCTATAGTTTTTAGATTTTTTCTCTGTCTGGCAATAAATCACGAGAAAACCACTGGACATATTTTATTGAAATTTGATATGATGATAGCTGGTTATCCGGGTTAACATATAAGATACTTTTTACTGCGGGAAAATATCTCATCCCAGAGAAATCTATACTAAGCCTTAAAACATAACTAGGTACGAACCCGAGCGGTGCCAGGGTGAGTCGCTAGTTTATATTATAAATAGCTGTCAAAGATAAAGAGATTTTACTGAAATGAAATATCGCAGCAAACAGGATAGGCTTTTGTACTGCGGTCGCTGTGTCGTGTGTTTCGCTTCTAATTTATGTTCAAGCTAGTGACATCCGATTAATATTAGACTCTTTATTTTACCTAAAATCCTAAAATTATAAATCTAATAATATTATAATTATATACTAAATTTATTCCATTTTTATATATTATTAAAATAATAAAATGAGTAAACTCAACTCTTAATGTAATAAGCAAGATTATTTTGTATAATATTTTCTTAGGTTTTAGGGAATATTTGACATTTTAAATAAAACTATCTTGTCAGATTTTTTGGAAAAGACCCGAGACTATAATTGCTGTAAAGCATTCGAAAATTCCGAAATCAAAAATGAAAGCATCTTTTAGTTACTATAATCCAAATAACACAATAAAACATTCTCTCTATTGTTAAAAATTGTATTTTCAGCAAGAAATTTTGCACAAAGTGTATAAAGTTTAGTAGAGTGTACAAAGAGGAGAGTAATATACAGAATACTATAAATAAAACTATCTTTTCGAATTTTGTTCCAAATTTTATTTTATACTAGCATTGCCCACGGCTCTGCCCGCGTTCAGATGACCAAAAACCAAATTCTTAGGTTTTACATATAAGTATACTCTTACTTTACAGTTTTTGTATTTTATCTCAGAAATGAGATATTTTCCCGCGGTAAAAAGTATCTTATATGTTGACCCGGATAACCAGCTATCACCATACTGAATTTTATCAAAATCCCTCCAGTGGATTTTCTGTGATGAGGTAGCAGACAGATAGACAAACAGACAGACAAAAATTCTAAAAACTATAGATTCGGCCTCTGTATCGATAATGATGTTTATTTCAATAAGATTTTCCAAAAAATATTTAATGTACAGATTCGGCTTAGTTACAATTTTATTATACGTATAGATTTTTGCCGCGACAAAATCTGAAAAGGCAATTTCATTTAAAATTTCAACAAAACAAACATACAGAACAACAACAACAACAACAACAACAACAGCTGGGAGGAATAACAAAAATTCTATTACAATTCATATAATCCGATCACAATCGGAATCACTAATATTATTTTGTTTACTTTGAATACAGAGTAATAGCATCATGAATAGATTTTTGTATCTATACAATATACATATAATAAAAGTGTAACTGATCGTTGTCTGTACATGGAAGATATTTGAGAGAAACTATATTTGGGGGTCTTTATTAACGCAATAGAACTCAAAGCAATGATTTTTAGAATTTTTGTCTGTTTTGTGCGTTTGTGCACGCTAATCTCAGAAACAGCTTAACCGATTTGGGTCCAGTTTTCACTAATGTATAAGTAAGCTTCACTTAACATTTAGTGTTTGTTTTATTTCAATCGTTTTATAAATAAATAAGTTATGTCAATTTAAAGTATCACGTACGAGGGTGAGTCGCTAGTTAAAATATAAACTCCGTGCTAGAAAAATATTTGTAATTTTCTAATGAATCTTGATGATAATCCATGAATTGGAATCGCAGATTATTCTCCTAAAATATACTAACTAAATATACTAACTGAAATTTTTTATGGATAAGTAAAATGTGCATGCTAAAATATAAATTGGAATTTAAATTCGATTCTGCGATTTCTAAAAGTAAATATTTATGAGTGTTCCGATGTCAATTACCAAAGGGCAAAGATATAAATATTTGAGGTGTATTTAAAACAAATGCATAAAGTCGTCATGTGAAATGCATAATTTGTAGCATATTATTATTATGAGTATTTTATTTGTGTCTTAAAAATAGTAAAAAAATGAAAAAAATATTGTGAGATAGTTATATAGAGAGAGAAAGCGAGGGAGAGAGAGTGAGAGAACGAGAGCAAGGGGAAGAGAGAGAGGTAGAGAGTTAGTGAGAAAGAATTAACTCTACATTTATTAATTCCTTTTTTCCGAACTATGAATACTTATAAAAACAAAGTGGGTAAGTAGGCAATTTATATCCATTTTGTTTTCTTGGCAGATAAATATTTACATGGTTAAAATTAACATAAACATGACCTCAAACAGAAATCAAACCAGTGATCTGCAGCAGTGTAAGTCATAATATATCTGCGTTATGGTCTCCAATAAAACTTAAGAGGTACTTATTTTAAATTTGAATAACCCTTTCTCTTGAAAAGACGGTCTCGGTCAAAATATTTCGCTATAATCGTTTTAGGTTCTAACAGTGCCTTATAAAATTTTACTACCAATTCGTATGGGATAAAAGCTGATAATATAATGTAGACTGAAAGTGCAGTGGACCGGCTCCATATATAAAAGTGGTTTTATACAAATGACTTCAAACGATGCACATATCGAGATGCAATCGTATTTTTATCTATTTTCAGTACAATTGTGGCTGAATGATTTGCGTTTGAACTGTTTTTTAACCCCCGACGCAAAAAGAGGGGTATTATAACTTTGACGTCGATATCTGTCTGTGGTATCGTAGCTCTCAAACGGATAGACAGATTTCGATGCGGTTTTTTCATTTGAAAGCCAGTTTCCTTGCGGTGGTTTTTAACTATGTTTGGTTAATATCGGTTCAGCAGTGTAAGAGCATCAGCTCTTTCCTAAAATGATGTAAGGCATTTTGGCGTATGATTACTCGATTAAGTGCTTCTTTACTTCTTTACTTTATTACATTTTTTGTTGTTTATTCCTCTAAATTTTCTTAGAACTCATTAATAATACTAGATAGGAAGAAAGGTTGTAATTTTATATCTATATAAATATGAAATGCAGTTCGTTAGTAAGTGCATAATTTTTGAACGTTTGGATCAATTTGGCTAACTTTTTTCTAAGATATACGTACGAGTATTAGTCTGATTAAGGCTTTTAATAAAAAAATTGGAAATGTTGCCCAGAACATTGAGAAATTCGGGAAAAACAGAACTTTTTTTTTATGAACGCTAAAACCATGACGTCTGTCCGATTAGCCAATAATAATAATAAAAAATCACAAAGCACAATGAATGCTAATAATAAGTATATGGCAGTATTTGGCAAAAATAATAGAATATCTCATTAAGTTTATCAGTGAAGTCGACGCTTCAATAAACCGATTAGCCAGTTCTACCATCCGGGTCACGCAAATATTTAGAGCGTCGTCTATACAGCATTTGCTAGTGCAAAGCATTTTAAAATTATTCGCACACGGCACAGTTCTTTGAGAATTTCCTCAGTTTGAAAGATGTTCAACTTTTAAAAACGCTTCTCGCTTCTTTGCCGGATAAAAGTGCTGTTTTAAAACTTTACTAGTTTCCTATATAATTGGTGCAGGCTTGAAAATGTTGTTTCAAATTGCCTATATAACACAGTTATAAATTAAATATTATTATAATATTTTTTGAAGCATTATGAATTTGAATATATGTATTAAATGAATTTTAAATATTATATTGAACTAGCGACTCACCTCGTCCTTTCTTAGGTTTTAACGTTTTGATCTGAGAGATGAGATATTTTCCCGTAGCAAAAATACCCTATATATTGATCCAGATATCATACCAAATTTTCTCAAATAAATACCAAAATTTCATCAAAATACTAAAATTTCATCAAAATCCGTGCAGTGATTTTTCCGTGATGCAGTCATAGACATACAGTCAAAAATTCGAATAATTATAGATTCTGCCTCTGTAACGATAATAATGACTATTTCAATAAGATTTTCCAAAAAATATATTATAATGTACAGATTGACTCGGTTATAATTTTATTATATGTATAGATTTTGAAATATGAAGTTCTAAGTACGTGATTTTGCTTAAGAAATTTTCTTAAAAATAATAGATTATACAAAAAATATAAGCTAACTATATATAATATGTAGGTAAGTTGAAATTTTTAATAACCAAAAATAGTATTGATTTATATTTTGATATGAAACATTATGTTATTTTTGTAGCTATTAGTTCAATTTGACTTATCAAGTCAATGTATCATACCAATTCCTTAATTGTCTCTAATTACTTTTCTTTACATTATTCAATCAAATTACAAAATATTGGTAAAAAACTAACGAAGCATCTCACTCCTCAAATGGACTATTAAGACGTTAGATTCAAACCGTTAAATTAATAAACAAATTAATAAATCCTCAATAACATTAATTGCTTAACCACGTCATTCGCTTGCATATAAATTAGAAGCACGACATAGCGACCGCAGTACAAACGCCTATCTCATGCTGTTTACTGCTATATTTCATTTTGGTAATTTGCCCTCATTGTTGTCAACTATTTACAAACGGATCTCTATATAAATGGGGACTAGCCGCAGGGTTACGAATATCATATATCATATTTATATATCTATAACTAGTTTTTGCTTGCAGCTCCGTTTATATAATTTATTCGTCCCTAGGTTGCTTCCCTATACAAATTTTCATCCCCGTTTTCGCCTAAAGGGATGATTTCCGGGATAAAAACTTTGCTATGTCCTTTTCAGGATTTTAAACTATCTTTTTACCAAATTTCATGTAAATCGATTCAGTAGTTCTCTCTTTATTATATTAGTATAGATTAATGTACTCATACTCCTAAAAAGGAAAAACGTCCTTATTTAATAAGCAGTAAAATGCAAAAAAATATTTATTCAAATTCAACTGATTTGAAAAATTCTAGTAACATTATATTTGTAATTATTACGTTTGAACTAGTTACTATAACGATTTACCTATATCAATAAAATATAAAAATACTGTTTGTCCGTGATATAAAAAAAATCACAGACAAATTATGCCATATTGTGCTTACAGGTTTTTGCACGTTGCAAAAAACCAAGAGAAAAGTATACTACTAGTTCATAATAATAAACAATAGATAGATATAAAAGAATTTTCTAGATTTAGATTTTTATATTATATTCTATTTTTTAATAGAAAGATAATTATGCAAAACACTTAAAACTTTTAGGCTTAAAATGATTAGGCATTTTTCCCTTTTTGTTTTTACGTGCCCTGAACTTTAAGTTTCTAGACGAATTTTATTTGAATTCAACTTATTATAAAACTCTTATATTGCTTGGATAGATTTTAGTGGGTTGAATATTTTTCCATATAAAATGGGGGTTAATATAACTTTATGTTTACCAAAGTTTAAAACAAGCTTATAAATGAAAGAAATACATAATCTATACATATAATAACATTTTAACTGACTCGAATTTGTACATTAAATATTTTTTAGGAAAATCTTATTGAAATAGCCATTATTATCGATACACAGGCTGAATCCATAGTTTTTAGAATTTTTGTTGGTTTGTCTATCTGTCTGTCTGTGAACTGGGAACGCATTGTGAGAAAACAACTGGACAGATTTAAATGAAATTTGGTACGATGTAACTGGTTATCCGTGTCAACATATGTAATACTTCTTACTGATACTACGATACTAACCGTTAAAACTATCTAGGGACGAACCCGAGTGGAGCGAGGGTGAGTCGCTAGGGTATTTATCACAAGAAAAATATAAATTATCCTATACCAGCGTATTTTCATTCCTATATGCTCTGCATATGGGTAAATATACATTATATTTGTAATATAACAAGGAAGTAGTACTGACTGAATGACTGATCTATCAACGTGTAGCTTAAACTACTGAACGAATTGGTACATAATAAATAATAATAAATATGTAGCATTAACACTCAATACCATCTAGTTCTATGGTAAGCTACGAGGCTTGTGTTATGGACACTAGATAGTTGATACACTACACATATATAACTTTAAATACGTACATATTATAAATATAAACACTGACTGACTGACTTTTAAAAAAATCAAGCTCTAAGAGAGTGAAATAGGGGTTCAAAATTTTGTATGGAGAAATCATATAAGAGAGATATGTAAATAGTGGATAGTAAATATTTCTTTTTATTTATTTGTATAATATATATAGTTTTTTTTGTATACGTTTTATAAAATACGAATATACGGATATAAAACAAAGTATGCAGTTTGACCTGATATTTCTTTGAAATACATAGCCTATATAAACTAAACTGAGAATCTCATTAAGTATAATGGAGCAAGCCTTTCTCCGAGGTGCCTCAAAAGGAAACTTGAAAGGTTAGATTTTCTCATTTGTTTCGTTCATCGAATTTCTTTGTAACTTTATCGGTTTTAAACTAGAATATTCTAGTAATTTATGTGAATTTTTATTATTAAATTGTTTCTTTTGATACAACTATAGAAATGCAATGATGTAGTCAAATTATGAAAAAATAAAAAAAATGATGATACTTTCTAAGTAGTTTTGACGACACGTTTGGCTCGTAATTAATCGTAATTCGATCAATGCAACTGCAATTTACGCAATCGTAAGTGATACCTTTAATGTTTAATGTTTAATGTACAATAGTGTATATAAATATTATATAACTAGCGGTTCACGTACGTTTAAATAGTTATTAGACAGTGTTAGCCATGTACATTAAAAATGTTTTGATGAATTTTTTCAATGTTTTAAACTTATTGTCCTATTCCGGACTAAGAGAAATCCAAAAAATCAAATATCATAAGATTTGGTCCAGCCGCTCTTGAGTTGTGTTATATTATATTATTATATATATAGATATGAATGCATTAATATTTTAAAACTTTTAAACACTCACATCTCACTAATAAAGATACAGGGTTGCTGGTTCCTTTGCCTTCACTATTCGCTGCCATACATGTGTAGTCTCCTGCCGCTGCTCGTGTGACGCTTTGTAAAACTAGACTTTGGGCACTCAGTATGACGCCTGCCGCTTCATTGTGAAAAATCTCCGTATTCTGAACAAACATATACAGGGTAATTTTTAATTTACTGAAAACCTTTTGGGAATATACTATTTACATCATAACAACAACATCTGTAACAAGAAAAAAAAATATTTCTTAAATTTTTATTTTCACACAAAAATAAAAATATTTTTATTGCATCTTCTAAACGGTAAAGTTCTAGCATCTGGCCAAGTTTAAATGAGTAAGGGCCACTTCCTACACCCCTCCACCTCTCCCCCTCTACCGGTCACGCAATTTCTTTTGCTAATGCTGGACTATTACCGTTTAGAAGAAGCAATAAAAATACTTTTATTTTTGTAAAATTTAAGAAATATTTTTTTTTCTTACAGGCATATAGGTATATTGGTACGTTTTAAGTTAAAAAAATATATTATTTATAAGGAGTATATTTTTTGTAACTTAATTCATTGCTAAATTAAACTATTATTTAATATTACATAATATAATTATATATTTTCTAAGTTCAAGCTGTGAATTCAATACCAAAATCTGAACCAAATACATAGCATGAAACTTTACCATTTTCAGTCAGATGATAAATACATATTATTTCATATGAAATACTTACATCATGAAACCACACAAGTCTGTGTGTTTTCGGATTAGCTTTGACGGTACATTCAAAGTAAACGTCATCTCCTTCCTTTATTTCATCCGGGTTCAAATTTGATCCCATTTTCAAATCAACTATCGGGACATCTGTAAATAAAATTTTTCTTAAATAATCATAATTGACGACACGTTCAGCTCAGTTTGTGGTGACCCTACTTGCTGTGCCAGCAGTCGCGAGTTTGAGTCCCGCTTGGGGAATTCATTTGTGTGATGAGCACGAATGATTATACTATAGTCATGGGTTTTTATATTTATATTAAAAATATTAATATTTTAACATATTCATATATTTGTTTATAATATATAAAGGTACTTTTGAACCATTTCCTTAAGATACGTGAAGAATAAATATTCTTTTTATTCATAGACTCAAGACAGCCACGAATTTGTTATAATTAGTATAATGATAGTTAAAAGATGATGATGTTAGTAGAAAAATTAGGGTCTTTTACATGATGTTCTCCCGACCGATTCCGGCCACGGCGGCCAATCTCATTGAGACTAGCCAATTGCGCAGGAGATATTATAGTGCACAAGTGTACGCGCAGACACAAGTGCACTCTCTATTCCTGTCACTCTCATACTCCGGTGGGACGACTGTTCGACACGACCAGTGAGAGTTAAGGCGCAGGACCGACGGCTTTACGTGCTCTCCGAGGCACGGGGGTGAAACACCGCCAACTTCCCAACTCCGGGCTGTTACTGAGGCTTACTTATACAGAAAGACTCAATAACTAAACTTGGCCCGACCCGGGACTCGAACCCAGGACCTCCGGGTGTGCAGCCGTACATGCTAGCCACTACACCACGGAGGCAGTTGGTCTTTTACATATATAGTGAGTGAGACAACAGGTCTTTTTTTCAAAACATGTTAAATTTTACTAAAAAAATATTTAAAATAAGCACTTTCTTCATATTCTGCCTTCTTATCTACATAATTACTAGTCAAAATCTAATTGCAGACTGTGCTGTTCAATATAAGTATACTGAACTAAGCGTTATCCTTAAACAAAGTTACATATAAATAGATACAGTAATTAATCTATTTACGTATGCCCACTACTTATTTTAATAGCACGAGGTGCTCTTTTTAAAAAGGCTTTTGTGGTAAAAGTAAACACTAAGTAATTTTAATTGAAAGCAAAGATTAAGAGGATTTATTTTTAATTCAAGTTTGTCTTGAGGGTGTTGTAACTTCGCCCTTCTAACCTACGTGTCATTCCCTAAGATTTATTAAAATTCCCTTTCCCAACCTCTTCAAGGCCCTTGGAAATTTCGCGATAAATTGAGATATTTTTTAAGATGTCACGAGATTTCAACGTCGCGTCGCTACCAACTTTTATTTTCTTTTTAATAGAGATGTAAATTAGTACTCTTATTCATTTCGTCAAATAAAAATATTATGAAATCTTTTGTTTAAAATTTGGCTTCGCTCATTTTTTGCCGTTTGTATTTTAGTTGAAAGAAAAATGATACAAAACGGTACCCAGAGGCCAAAGTAATATTTGAGCTTTTTTGTAGAGTATTCCGTAATGTTAATTTTTATGCGTTTATATACAACTAGCGACTCACCCTCGCTTTGCTTGGGTTCGTTCCTAGGTTGCTTCCCCATAAAAACTTTTACCCCCATTTTCACCCTCTTAAGGGATGATTTCCTGGATAAAAATATCCTATGTCCTTCTCATGGTCAAACTATCTTCTTACCAAATTTCATCTAAATCGGCTTAGTAGTTTCGGAGCTTATTCGGTACAAACAAACAAATAAACAATCATTCCTCTTTATGATACATATATTAGTATAGATTTACTTTTTAAACTCAACCTATGTTGTATTATAAGAGAATTACCAATTATAGCTTCTAAATTGTGAGGTACTTAGAAAGATTTATTTTTCTTCCTAACATTGATGAATGATTTGAATTTAACGGAGATTAGTTCTGAACGTCTTTGTAGCTACTTAAATGTTAAGACTTTCCCATAGATGTTCTCGTTCTTATTTATGATACGGTATAGTATTTGTAATATTAAATACTTAGAAAAACTCGGGATAAATTAATATTGACATTTTAAATAAAACTATTTTTCTCGATAAGAGAGTCATAGTTTATAGATAGTTTCTCCCATGACTATGATTGCCGTAAAGCATTCGAAATGTCAGGAACCAAAAAGTAAAATAAATCCGTGAAAAAATCCAAAGAGATAGATATCGAGAATAGCATAAACAGCAAAACCAGCTACTATTTTTGACTTTGACGGTTTTTTTTGCTGACCCATCTATATAATTCTTTAATCTGATTCCATACTCTCTTTTAATAAAATATAATAAATAAAAAAAGAAATCTATATATATATAAAAGAAAGTCGTGTTAGTTACACTATTTATAACTCCAGAACGGCTGAACCGATTTGGCTGAAAATTGGCGGGGAGGTAGCTTAGAACCCAGAGACGGACATAGGACTTTTTATCCCGTTCGACTGCGTTCCCGTGTGATATTTTTTGTCTGTTTGTCTGTTTGTACGGGCTAATCTCCGAATCTATTGGACCGATTTAATTGAAATTTTGCATGGTGGTACCTTATATCCCCGGACAACGTCTTAGATATTTTTTATCCCGGAAAATATAATGGTTCCCGTGGGATAGTTAAAAAACTATTATAACTTATACAACTTATGCACCTAATTTAGTAAAATTTAACATTCTGATACCTTATATTGCCGGTCAAACAACCGGTTACTTTTCATCCGGGAAAAATGAACGGTTCCCGTGGGAACTAATAGATTTTTATTAGTGTTTTTCTAGAGGCGAACCTGAGCGAAGCGAGGGTGAGCCGCTAGTATATGTATAATTATTTAAATGGTACTAGCAGTTTCAAAAATGTTTGTATTGAAACTAACACACAAACTCATTTCTTTGTATATTAGTACAGATTATAAAAAGTAAAAAATGTTTGATTGTTAGAACTAGAAAAAAATCACTTCAAGGAACCCTTGACTTTTTTCGCTACTAAAATATTACGTGATTAAAAATCGCATCAAATACAGCTGTTCACATAATTGTTATTGAATTTCACTTACGGGTAAGTTAGTTTGATTTTCAATTATACATATTCATCGAGCGAGCAAGCAGCAAGCTTCAACTAATTTAAACATAAATATTATAAATGTAAAAGTTTGTGAGTATGTATGGATGTTTGTTACTCTTTCACGCAGAACGGCTGAACGGATCTGGATGAAATTTGGCACAGAGATAGATTATAGTCTGGAATAATACATAGGCTACTTTTTATCTCGGAAAAATATACGGTTCCCGAGTTGAACAATGTTATTTAACTAATTTTTAACCTGTACAGTAAAAATAAGTAGATAAAATTTGACCGAACCAAGAATACTAGATCAATCCTAAAACATTTAAACTACTACAATTTATCAAAGAATATTTTTCTTAACAACCAAACAGTACTTACAATGTACGTTGAGGCGCCACTTATCTTCTATGGCCGAGTCTGGTATGTGCTTGTTTTCAGCTCGACAGGTCAAATATTTACCGTCGTCTTCTACCGCTGGCACGAGACTTAGTACGCTGAGTGTCTCGTTGTTTTCCGAGAACTAAATGAAAATGCACATATTAGTTTTCATTTATAGCAAAATTGATTATCTATTATGAAGAATGAAGGTATTGGTACACTAATCTTAATGATTGTTACTCCTTGTCATTAAAAGGGATGGACAGATTTGGATAAAATTTAGCACACAAATTATGATCTGGAGTAGTATAAGCGACTTAGGGACGAGCGAAGGCGAGGTAAGTTGCTAGTAATATGTAATGATAATATGAACATTTGTGAATAAATGTTTGTTACGACTTGACGCTTTAACGACATATGGATTTTAATGAAAAACGAAATGGAGTAAGCTAAGATCGTTTAACAAGTGAAGTGCGAGCGAAAAGTAGTTTATAATATAACAACAGGTTAAGTTAATTGAATGCACGAATAAAACAATAGCAAACTGAATGAAAATATTTTATGGCTTTAATACGTTTGTTATTATTTGTTGAAATTCTACAACTTTATGATATTCTTAGTTTATTGGTTTAAATATCACGTTATATAATTATAACTATATACTATTGTAATTTGACCATAATCATTATTGAAAATTTGAAGAAAACTTATATAAAAAGATGTATTAAGCCTTTTTTAACGTCTCACTCCTGGGCACGGGCCTCCCTTCAATGCGAGGGAGATCAGGCCATAGTCCACCACGCTGGCCAAGTGCGGGTTGGCGGACTTCACATGTCTTTCGAAAATTTGCTAGGTTCTCTCAGATATGCAGATTTTCTAGTCTAAAACCTCAGTCTCACCCGTGACCATGATTGCTGTGAAGCATTCGAAACGTCGGAAACCAAAAATCTAAATAAATCCGCGAAAAATCCGAAAAGTAGTTTTGTTTAAGCAGTATTACTGATTTATTTTTCATTTTATAACTTTTAATTATAAATGTAATAAAAATAAAGCATAACCTTCAAAACGTGTTAATATTTAATATTGCCATTTGAGAACAAAGAGTTTTTTTTCGCAGACTTCTTAAAATTTGAACCAGTAGCTAATTAAAATAGTAATTATTTTACGTATTTCAGACAATGAAATACGTTTTTTGTGATTCATTTTTAAAATTAATTAACGTAAGAGGCTTTATTGATTCGAAGCTTTAATTTATGATAATAGGAAAATTTTATCTCCATTACTGAAATTAAATGAGCGTGTTTCGATATCCGTTAATAATATCAACTTGTATTTGGGAACATAATATTTTTTATATAGGTAATATGAATTCACTTACTTCTTTACTCGTTACCTGTTACGTCTCACTTAGTTCGCGTGTTCAAATGTAATTTTATGAAAGTTATTTTAAAAGCTTGATAAAATTTCTATACCCCAAATCGCCAATGCGTCTGGATTTAACAAGTTAAAATGAAGGTAAATTTTGAAACAATAAAAGCAATACGAATATTAAAAAGAATACCTATATTGCAGGGGATTTTTATACAAATACAATCAGTGTATTTTTTACTATAAATATATAACTACTAACTTGCTTATGTCAAAAAAATGACAATGTATATTAAAATCTTTCAATTTTTCCTTCCATCTCCAATATCATTTATCGCAATAAAAAGTCTGCTGAATATTGATATTAGAAATAACATACTAATATTATAAATGTGAAAGTGTGTTTATTTGTCCTTCTTTCACGTCGATAGAGTATGACGATTGGCGTGATTTTTTGTGTGGAGATAGTTGGAGGGCTGGAGAGTGACAAAGGCTAAATATGTAAGGTAAAATATGTAAGGTACATGTTGCAAAAAATACTAAAAAAAACATGGTGCAGTCAGTAATCAGAATAGAAATCTCGAGCAAACCATTAGTTAGTCACTAATATAATAAAATAATATTATATTCTTCTCTATATTTTATTAGGCAGTGGTAGCCCAGTGGTAACACGCCCGCTTGGGAAACAGAGTGAAGCGGGTTCAAATCCCGAGTCTCGCATCTCTGATATTTTAATGAGCGAATTATTTCCAAAATGATTCGTTACCATTTGTCTTATGGTAAAGGAAAACATCATGAGGAAAGCTGCATATCTGAGAGAACTTAACAAGTTTTCGAAAGTCGTGTGAAGTCCGCCAACCCGCATTTGGGCACCGTGGTGGGCTATGGGCTGATCTCCCTCGTATTAAAGGGAGGCGCGTGCCCAGCAGTGGGACATTAAAAAGGGCTGATTACAATACATTCTATTATACTAAAATAAAAATATTATTCCATTAATATTGAAATATAAATGTCAATAAAACATTCATTTAGTTTCCTAAGAATAAAGCTAACTGTAATGTCAGATTTCATATAACAATACAATATTAATATTAGAAGAATTATTTATTCATACAGTCAATCAAATAAAGCAGAATTATATTTCATTATGGAGTTCTTTGAAAATATAATAAAGTTATAAAGAGTAATAAATAAGTAGACGTTACTTATTCTGAAAAAAGATATGAAGGATTCAATCTATTTCTCACTTTGTCAATATAACAAATGGTTATGGTTTTTCGATGATAGCCAGATTTTGATGAGATTTTTATAAGACTACTAACGACTCACTCTCGCTCCGCTCGGGTTCGTCCCTAAGTACGTTTTAACGGTTAGTATAGATTTCTCAGAGATGAGATGAGAATCTAAAAACTATAGATTTGGCCGCTGTGCCGATAAGTATGTATTTTTCAATAGGATTTTCAAAAAATATTTAATGTATGGATTCGACTCAGAATTTTATTACATGCATAGATAGAAAAATTCATAGCTGTATTTCCGAATTTCATTCAACTTGCTAAACTCTATAAGCATTAATTTTCTACGTTCAAAAATTTTAACGAAATTTCGTTCTAAAACTAACAAATAAAAACAAAACGAGAGACTTAGGTATTATAATAGCATTGTGCCACAACCCATCCAAAGAACTTGGCGCATAATTAACTAACAATTGTCATTATGAATTACTAGCAAAAAAAATATATGATACAATTACATAGGATGGAAATTAAAAAGAATCTATTAATTAAGAACAATGAGTGTAGGACAAAGGACTCACGTTTTTGGCCATCCGTTTGAGCTGTCTATTGTTCTTCCACCAAGAAACCGACGCTTCCGGCCGACTGCCTGTAGTTTTGCACTCAACTTCGTATCTTTTGTCTGCTGACACTTGCTTCTCTTTAGTCAATATGTTTACTGTTATTGGTTTTACTGAAACAATGAATGAACGAATGTACATTAGCGCTAAGACAGAAACTTTATAAATTGTATTGAAATGACTGATGATAATAACTCGAAAAATAAAGTGACGTCACTCTAAATCCAATATGGCGGACTGCTAAACATGGCAGACGAGCATTTTTTATGCACCCGATATATCAAATGAAAGGGTTTGCTAAGAAGAATACAAATAAAATAAGAACTAAAAAATAAATTAATAGTAAAAAATATTTTTAAAAAGAAGCTTTTAATTAAATGCACTAAAAAGAAGAAAATAAACTTTAAATTAAATCAAACCTAACAATTTATTACATTACACAATTTATATGATACAAAAGCTTATCGCGAGATTTACCTGTATAGATAAACAAGAATATAACATTTAAAATAGGGCTCATTCTCATCAAACAAATGAATGCCCCCAGCGGGAATTGAACCCGCGACCGCTGGCACAGCCACTGCAAACTGAGCCAAACGTGCCGAATATTTCAAATTAATCTATTTCAAATAAATAGCAAGCAAATATTTGAACTATATCTGGGAAAAACTTTTGTAAATACCATAGCATAAGAAAATCGTGAATATATTTATTCTTCAGTTTGCGTTGAATAGTATTAAATATTTACTAGAGAATATATTGAATGTATAGAGAAATACGTTTCATTTTAATACCTTTAAGCAAAGTGCTTGAGAATTTCTCATTTTAGCTTTCATAAATAGAGACTTAAATACAAGGTTATAGGTTATTCTATGTATACTCATATACATATATGTATGGAGGTATGCGGTAAAAATATATTCGATTCACGCTAATAGCATTAAAAAGATAAAGTATTAAATTACTATATCATTTATTTACTCGCTATTAACTCATTTCTATTATATATGAAAGTTTTTATGTATGTGTGTAGGCTTATTACCAGTTGACGCTAAAACGGCTGGACCGATTTGGATGAAATTTCATAGAGAAATAGACTATTATCTGGAGTAACGCTTAAGCTACTATTAGTACCAAATCACATAGTAATGTGGCTTTAATTAAGGCTGTAGCCTTAATAGAAATATAGGTATTCTGAACTTAAATATATGATAAGTTTTATCTGACTTCTGACTAATATTATAAATGTGAAAGTTTAGATGATTTGATGTTTGGATGGATGTTTGTTACTCAATTATGCCAGAATGTTTGAACGGATCTGGATGAAATTTGGCACAGAGATAGATTATAGTCTGGAATAGAATATAGGTTACTTTTTGTTACGGAAAAATGTATGATTCTTGTAGGATAGATTAGTTTTTGTTAGTAGCACATATTTAGTTAAAAATCATACTTACGATTTATATCTAATATTAAAACTTTTGTTTCTGGTGGAGCTAAGTTTGTATTTGATGCTTGGCAGACTAGTCTAGCATTCAAATGCTGTCTTCCAACATTGGGGAAAGTCAGTGTGTTAACTGTAAGACTATCTTTTCTTTCTTCATATGAATCATCTATAACGACATTTTCTAAGTACCATGTGACTCTCGGCCTTGGGATACCTGTGAAAAAAAAATGTCAGCGGTTAGGCAGAAAAATAAAATTATTTCAAAGCCAGATTCGAACCTGCTACCTGTTACATACAGCAAAGAAATTTGTAATAGATGCTGGAAATAGTAAAATATATGTACATATTTCTAACTCGTCCTATGTTCTTGTTCCAATGAAATCGAAGAGACTTGAGAGTAAAATCAATTGACATAGTGAATTTGTACAGCGTTTTAAGATATCTAAATTGGATTGGTCAGCAAAGTTATACGTTTGCACATAGAAAACAAATTTATTTTAAATATATTTATATTAAAAATAAAGTCGAACTCATGGCATTTTTTAGGGTTCCGTGGCTAAATGGGTAAAACGGAAATCTTACAATTTAGCATTGCTGTCTACCCGTATATCACAGCTGTTTAACTCAAATGCTATTGGAGCAACATTGCTGGATAGGTAGATCTTATCTAAATTGTTGGACAATTTCATAGTCAAATTACTAAAAAATAAAAAATAGGGATGGCATTCCATAGATGTAACTAAAGGACAAAAAATATTTAAGCCCACATAAGTGCGTATCTCTTTATATTTACTTATATAGGTCTTTAAAATTCATATGGTTGTTTAAAACAATACTTATAGAGTCATATACGAGTATTCCGGATATAATATATACGTTGTGAAGTTTTTGAGTTATGTGATGTTTTTCATTTCACGCATTCGACCGCAAACTTATCGTTTCTCATAGTTATATTAATAAAATATTCCTGTCATCAATAATGAATACCGTAAATGTTTAAATATTTTATGTTACTTTTAACGTAAGACGTAATTATTACTGTATTAAAACAAAACAAATGCTACGGAACCCTCAATGTGCGAGTCATACTAGCACTTGTCCCATATTTGTGAATAATAAAACGTTCACGCTAGATTTCATGTTTATATCAAATATTTGAGTTAAAAGTTGTTTTAGAGCCTCTTAACCGTTCGAAAGCTCTTGAAAGTTTTACTATCATAGAGATTGCACGAAAATATTTCATATTTACCAAAATTGTTCCGATCGTTATCAAAAGAGTGTCAGTGAACATATATGGAGGGCTTTGAACAGTGTCATATTGTCAATCTAAGTGTATCGTATAATAAAAAAGCAACAGGGCTAGTCTGCAATGTATATTTTTTACACAAAATATGTCGAAGTGAAATTTTAGATAAAATAGAAACTAATACATTATTTCAAATATACTTATATTAATATATTTTTGAATATTCTCTTATTCGGTACTGAATAAAATAAATAATTTTAACTTTTTTTTCAATTCAGCACAAATAAATACCCTACAAAAATAATATTTATGACAATCAAACCTACGATAGATATTAAGATTGCTAACAAAAAACTATCAACGCTGCTAAATAACATATTATCTACACATATAATAAAATTATAAATAAGCCAAATATGTACGTTAATTATTTTTTGGAAAATCTTAATGAAATAGACATTATTATTGATACAGAGCCCGAATCTATAGTTTTTAGAATTTTTATCTATCTGTCTGCCTGACTGTCTGTCTATTACCGCATCACGGAAAAAATACTGGAAGGATTTCGATGAAATTTGATATGATGATAGCTGGTTATCTGGGTCAACATATAGGATACTTTTTACTGCGGAAAAATATCTCATATCTGAGAAATCTATACTAAACGTCAAAACGTAAATATGGACGAACCCGAGCAGAGCTAGGTTGAGTCACTAGTTATAGCTTATTTCAAAACAAAAGGTAGTATCAACAAAAAATATCCAATTAATTTTAAACAATGCCTTATATCGCTGTGACGGAAACGCTCTAATGGTGGCAAACACGGGAGGTCACTCCACCGATAACAATCATAATTCTCCATATTATCTTCCTATCGATACCACGGTTATGTTTAGATTGTCAGATAAGTGGGTGTTAAATATTGGATATCGCGTGAATGAACTTAAACTTAAGTTTTTAAGGTTAAAAATGACATAACTAATGCTACGTTTTTATAATAAAACTTGTTTCGAACCGTGACTTTGGATGTGTAATCGATCAAGTTAATTTATATTACGAAGAAAAACACAGGTTTCTATTAGAGAAAGTATTTTTATTAGTTTAAGAGATTGTTATATACAAAAAAATAATGCAATAAACAAGCACTTTTTAGGAGTACAACAATTTATTGTACTGTGACCTTAGTAATATATTTACAGCATTTTCCACATTTTTTGGAAGATAGAATAAGTCTTTTATACTATGTAAATTTAATTATTATGAGACATGAAATGTATAACATAATAAAATCTGCTGAAAATATGTAGATTGTAATAAAAATACATATTATAATATTTATTCTTGCTGCTAAAGTCACATACATACATACGAATATGTCTAAAAATCAATACATCATAACAGTTTGTTTGAAAATAGAAACCTATAGTAACATTTTAATTTAGTTTTAATTCAATAAAAATCTACTTCTTTCTCAGAGCTTTATTCAAATCTATCTATATAAATAAAAATTTAAAAAAAAATTACAAATCTATCTATATAAAATTGTTTGTCCTCTATGTACATATGTCATAAACTATTAATCCGATTGTGATGAAACTCTGGTGGGTTATTCTGTATACGCGTGTGAAGGTTTCTGGCGCAAAAAAAATCTTTGGACGTTTGTCTTTTATGCGTTCCTAAATCAAGCTGAAAAAGCGCATTTGAGCGAAGCGGGAGTACATAGGGAGTACTTTATATTTCAATATTTTGAACCTATTACGGATTGAATATATTTTAAACTTATAATTTACTTAATATTTCCTTAAAACTACTCATTATTTGGGACTTATATAATTAAATATATTTCCTTACTCTATTTAATTAAGATATATCTGTTAGAAGTTTTAATTTAAATAACTGTACACTTATACTATGTTAAAACATGTATAAGTGATAGTGCACGAGAAAATAGTTTTTCCAATTCAATGTTAAAATCGGGTAAAAAGCTTCTATAATTTACTTGTATGTCTATACTTTAGTACATAAAAACAAAGAGCTTTATAGGTCGTTTAAATTCAAGCCTGAAATTGTTTAATTAAATTTATTTTTACTCTTCAACTGAGTAAATTGTCAGTTAAGATATAAGATACGTACAATAAACGCTAATTGGTCCTGACGCCTACAATCTTGTTAACGAAGTTAAAAATTTAAACGAAAGCTTAAAGCTTAAATGGTTAAAGGTAATTTTTCACTGAATACCAAGATAAGATTCTCACTTTTTTATTTTAAGCATGTTCAGACATAATTATCGAATATTTTTATAGATATTTATTGTTTTGAAAATGGAATTTTCAAGAGTGAGTACCAAGTTTTAATACGAAAAAGTAAAACATTGTGAGGAAACTTGCATATTTGAGAGAACCTAACATTTTTCAAAAGACATGTGAAGTAGGTATGTGGGTAGGATAACCTGAGGTCTGTGGGTAGGAGCCATAAGGCTCTCATGGTGGCTTATTTTTCTAGCACTGAGAAGAGACCCATGCCAGCTGTAGGACATTAAATAAGGGTTTAATTTATTAATATATATTATTTATTGATTACTTTATTAATATATATTATATACTAGTGTTCGCCAGGCAGTTGAAATTCGAACACAATCATTATAAAAAAATTAGAAAAATATTTAATCTATAGAATTTACCTATCTATATAAAAACTATTATATTTTTTTTATTTATAACACTTAATCTATTCAATTGCTATTAATTAAAAAAAAAGAAAATTGGTTGACAAACAGAGGAGAAACAGGTAGTGAAATGTTTTGTCTTTGTCTATTTATATATACACTAGCATTGCCCGCGGCTCTGACCGCGTTCAGATGACTTAAAACCAAATTCTTAGGTTTTACATATTAAGTATACTCTTACATTGCAGTTTTTGTATTTTTTCTCGGAAATAAGACATTTTTAAAAAGTATCCTATATGTTGACCCGGATAACCAGCTATTAACATACCAAATTTCATGAAAATCCCTCTAGTGGTTTTTCTATGATGCGGAAACAGACAGACAGACAAAAATTCTAAAACTATAGATTCGGCCTCTGTATCGATAATAATGATTATTTCAATAAGATTTTCCAAAAAATATTTAATGTACAGATTCGGCTTAGTTACAATTTTATCATATGTATAGATTATTTTCTATTGCCGTTAATCTGAGCTAAACAGTGCTAAAGGTACCACTTACAGGTAAATATAAAATTAAATACTGAAAAAAAAACATTGTGTAAAAACAAGTAACTACAAAATGACAAGCTGTCAGCGAGATTGATGATAGTGCAAACGTAAATGACATTAATTATGTTTGAGTAAAACCCTCCATCGTTATTGATTTGGGTAAAAGCCGAGTTGACAATTTAGTTTGAAATATTGTCCGCATAATGAGAATTGTAATTTTGTAATTTGCAGAGTAAATTCCTTTTATGGAAGTGGCGTTTTCGGTTGATCAAAAGTTTCGTCTAGATTTACGTCATAATTGCTTTTCGTCTTGACGACAATTTTGTTATAACTCAATTTATTACTTTTAAGGGAATTTTTAAGAGATGAAATAAAATTTTGTATAATATTTTATAATTATTCATCTGTTTGTCTGTCTTTTGATTTCATTTGCTTAATTACTTAGCAATTATTTGACATAATATTATATATATTATAATTCATAGTTCTAAATTAATATAGGGTTATATTTGTTCTCTATTTTTAAATTTAGTATTATATTTTTTAAATTTTCAAAAGTAATTCATTTGTGTATTTTAAACGACAATCATAGTGTATAGTACTTTCTATCTTTTATTTATATTTCTGATACTTTTTTAACCGATAGATCGCAGTGCAGCAAATTGATATGGGGTATGATATGATATTATCAATCTATAGTAATATTATAAAGACGAAAGATTTTTTTGTTTGTTTGTATAATAAGCTCCGAAACTACAAAATCGATTTAGATGAAATTTGGTAAGAAGATAGTTTGACACCCTGAGAAGGATACCGAACAAGTTTTTATCCCGGAAATCATTCTTTAAAGGGGTGAAAATGGGGATGATAATTTGTATGGGGAAGCAACCGAGAAACAAACCCGAACGAAGCGAGGGTGAGTCGTTAGTATTCATAATAAATTTCAAATTTTAAGGTGGAATAATTATGAAAATCGACATTACGAGTCCCTTTCTTGTTACTAAGTAATTAAAATAGAAATAACAGTATTATTGCGTCAAAAAGTCATGTTATTATAAAGTTAAGTAATTAAATACAATAATATTATACGAAAATATTTTCTTAATAAATTAAGCTTTAAATTAAATATTATAACTTTATAAAGAACTCACCTCCTTCTACCTCACAAATGAGCAGCACATTAGAACCCTCATTATAAGGCTCAACCAATTTCGTACGGTCTCTTCTTTTCGCATCGTATATTGTTGGCCGACTTGGTGGAACTAAAAATCATAAAAAAATAATAATACATGAGTTAAATATTTTGTATGGAATTAAGATAGGTTATATTTTAAATTAATAATAAATAATTATATGTTAGGACATTAATACACAGCACCATCTAGTACCATAGTAAGATACGAGGCTTGAGTTATGGATACCAGATAGTTGTTACACTATACATATATGACTTTAAATACATACATGTAATAAATATAAACACCCATGACTGAAGTACAAACATTCGTGCTCATCACACAAATGAATGCCCCCAGCGGGACTCGAACCCGCGACCGCTGGCACAGCAAGTAGGGCACTACAAACTGAACCAAACGTGTCGTCAAACACGTCAATTAACATATTATGGGGTTTTCATCAATGTAAATACCATAAAATAGGGTCAGTGAAAAATACATATTGTAAATAATTATATTTTTTATTCCCGCAATCACTCTAATTTCATATTACTCTTAAATCTATCATCCAAACTCAATACTTGGTGCTTCACCTGCTTTTTAATGTGCAGGTGTAAATTTTTATTATGTAACTAATTCGTCTATTTTTAACTTCTGAAATTTAAAAATGTAAATACGTGAATTGAAAAACGATTCAAAAGTGCTCGTAAAAATCTACTTAAATAAAATATATTACGATTTGATATGACTTGAATACGATAAACTACCAGTGGTTTTAAACAAACTTAACAAAATAAACTTACTTATAACAGTGAAATTGACTTTTAAATTTCTTGTAGGTGAATTTTTGAAGTCCACTCTGCATCTATACACGCCAGCGTCAACGGCTATCACGTTGTCCACCATAAGAACAGCTGGTGTAGCTCCTCCTCGAAAATATGCTCGGTTGCCAAAAACTAGAGGCGAAGACCAAAGCTTGGGCTGGTTGAGGTTACGACCTCGGATATCATAGCTAGAAAGAAGATTTTTTTGATTTATTTATTTATTTATTTATTTGTAAGTAAGTTAAGATGTTATAAAACTGTTATTCTTACTCTATGCAATAGAGCGACACTTATGTTATACTTGTCGATAAGCAAGTTATGAAATATTATCTAATAATATTAAATGAACAGTTTTTGTATATTTATATATAAATTTCTTGTATCTCGGAAATGACTAACGATTTGGATAAAATTTTGTATTTAAAATGCTTTGTTTTTTAAGTTTATCTTAATTAATCTATATATACGAGTAGATGTCTTTTCGAAAAAATACACAATTTTTCAGAAAAAAATACGGTTTCACAAAAAATTACAATATGTGGAAGAAAATTATTTCTTTGCTTAAAATACATAAATATTCAAGCAGTGTGGATAATTTACATAAAAATCGGTAGTGTACAAAAAATATTTATTGATTAACGCTTACGAACTCATATATCAGCCTTAAAATGAACGACAATAATATGTAGCACTTGGAACATTGTATACAAAAAGTATAAAAATATATAGGTATGTACATTTAATTCGATAAAGGACCGTTTTATTTAACAAGATTGTATGGATTTTACTCTGCTTTAAACACACTTTACACAAAAATGTATAAACTAACCAAATATAGTGGTTAGTTAATTTTTGTTGCTTACAATACTTTAATAATATTTTAAGGATAATCTTTCATTATCAGATTTGGATAAATATTTAAATACTAAAATGCATTCGCATGTAAATCGAACTCCTAACCTCATACATAACAAAGACTCCACAAGACATAACCACTACGTTACAAAGCACATTATCACCTAGAAACGAGGAATTTCATTTCTAAGTAAATAAGGCTTTATTATATTTTAGTAGGCTAAGATAATAATAACATATGCTATAAAAAATACCTGTATAAAGGCTCTCCATCCGATTCCTTAAACCAAAGTACCATGACAACGGCATCATCTGAATGTAATGGCTGTATATCACAAGGCAACGATGCTTTCTTTCCCAAAACACCTTGCACGTCCGATGTAGGCACTGTAACAAAATTTTTACTTAAAAGAACTGTTTTGTTATCTCTAAATATGTACATGTAAAGTATCCATCTGTAAATATTTTAGCTTTATAGAAAATATTTAAAATATTGAGGAATAATGTATAAAAAAATCTCATATTATAATGTATATTGTACAAGTCAGTTTAAAAAAAGTGTTAAAAGTTATCCATTCTACTCTAATAAATATACATATATATATGTATATATAATATTTATTGGAAAAAATTAGAATTTTTGTCCGTTAATCTGTCTGGGAACGCATCACAAGTAAACTACTGGATTGATGAAATTTAGTATGATGATAACTGGTTACACGGGTTAAAATATAAGATACTTTTTACTGCGGGAAAATATCTCATCTCTGAGAAATCTATACTAACCGTTAAAATGTAAGTAGGGATAACCCGAGCGGAGCAAGGATGGGTCGCTGGTGATATATAAATACGATATAACAACCAATAAATCATAAACAAAATGTTTATTCTAAAATTCAAAACATTATTTACAAATCCATACTATATCGATAAATCACAATACTATCGTGTTTATTGTTTATCTGCTAAATAATACTAACATTCGAAGACTCAAAATCAATAGAATATATTTTACTTTCGTAAACTACATCAAAATGAAAATTTTGGTAAAGTCCGCCCCGAATCTCTGCCAGCTTAAAATCTAGATCCGTCTTTGGACAAATATAGGAGCTTTAACAAGGATTGTAGACGCCCTAATAAGACAACGAAAAGACATTTAAAGCCGAAGAATCGTACCTTCTAAATATTTGAGTGTTTGGAATCTGTTTTTCATGCCTTTTAAATGGATATTATTTTTGTTTAAGGTATTTAAATATTATGTTGATATTTGTGATTGTATCTTTGCGAATAATTCTCGCAATAAAAATACTTAGATTTGTATTTGAAGATTTAAAAAAAAAGGTCCAATTTTTTTTCTGATCTGAATGAAATTTAGTATATATAAGCGATAAAAATATTTAGAAAAAAATTGACAACGTCAAAACAAAATTTATTGTGTAATATTTTAAAATATATCCGAATATAACATTAAAAAATTTAAGTAATAGTATAAAAAATGTTTAAAAGACAAAAAAATGGAAAGTGCATGTTACAAGACTTCCGCGATAACATTCAGACAAAAAGAGACAATAGCATTCCCAAGGAGGGTTGACGTCAGGCAGGCGGCCGGTCGTAAAACTTTTGCCAAATCCTATCAGCAGTACAGAAGATGTACTGCGCCGACCCCAAGTTATTGGGAAATGGGCATGGAGAAGAAGAAGAAGCTATATAAGCGATATAACTAGAGTACAAATAGCATAAATAACTCATAAGCACTGCCTTTTTTTAACGTTGGGAAATGCATTTACGCACGAGGTGTGGGACTCACCGGCAAAACTAGTACTACCCACTAAAACCCAACAAAACCTTCCCCCGTCTTAATGGGGCGTCGCAGGATCGCTTACGCATTCAACTACGACGCCCCGACGGCAGGTCTGCCGAAGCAGACCACAACAACCATGGGGTTGCTCCAAGGTCCACTCTGCTATCAGAGAAGTACCAGGAGCAACCCGCATGGTACACCGCCCCCCGAAAAGGGCCACCTCCCACCGCCCACCGAAGTGGGCCACCTCCCTGTGCGTTTCTTGGCATCGCGCCCGGCTTAATTACCGGGCACTACTGAGCCCCCCACCACGACAAGGTGAACGTACGTTGGGGGGATCATAGGCACTACCTGGGTGAAGCGAGGGTAAGTCATTAATTTACAATAAGTACATATACGAAAAACAGTTAAAATTTTTCAAGATATTTTTAATCACGTAAAAATTTGGCGCAAGTGTCCCTTATTCCATCATTTCAAACAGAACTTGTTACCCTATTTACCTTCCAAACGGCCAGATATATAGAAGGTATCGTGCGAAATCTCAATATCAGAGCTTAAACACGAATTCCAATAAAATGATCCGTGACTAAATTCGTTAAAGGAAAGTAACGAGATATTCCGTGTCTCGCCACTTTTGATTGCCGTAAAACGGTAGTAATTCTTTCACGGGCACGCCTTGATGGCTTTAGTGTGAAGTTGCCTTCGATTTTGTTGCTCATTTGTTACGAGTTTTTGCATCTAGAATAAATCTATATGTAAACTGGATTTATGAGGGTTGATTTGAATATATAAGAGTTATTATAAACATATCAATTTTATAAAACAATTGGTCTATACAGAAATTTTAACGTAATTGTCTGAAAATTTGTATAATTTGAACTACTCTTTGGGTTTATTTCAAGCAAAATTAATTGCTACATTAACGTGCACTAAAGTAGAATATCGAGTTTATAATTTTAAGGTTCGTCTTATAGTACAACCGCATGGGATTAAAAATAAGAAGAGATTTTTCAATAAAGTCCCTTCTACATAAAGTTTATTTTATAAAGCTTGAAATGTGCATTATATGAACTGTGTATTGCAATAAAGAAACCTTTTTATAAAATTTTATTGCTTTCATATATCCGGTGTAAAAATGGTATAAAACTTTTGTAGTAATACTTGTAAATTCAGGTCAATTGTATGTTTTTGGGTGTATGAGATGCAATATCTTCACCAATCTAACCTGTGAATTGATTTTCATGATTTTTTGCTCCAGAAAAAATACATTACCTAATGGTAAAATGAAAAAAAAATATCAAAAAATATTTAATACATGATTTTGATTGTGTTACTTTAATTGAAATAAAGTTTTTAGTTATGAAAAGTTCATCTATACTAATATTATAAAGAGGTAAAGTTTGTGAGTTTGTGAGGTTGTAGAGGGTAATCTCTATATCTACTGAACTGATTTAGATGAAATTTGGTAAAAAAATTGCTTGAGGCCCTGGGAAGGACATAGGATACAAACATTTTTATGCCAGGAATCATCCTTTAAGGGGGTGAAAATGGGGATGAAAGTTTGTTGGTGGAATCAACCGACGGGACGAACCGGAGCGAAGCGAGGGTAAGTGTAAAATGGCATTGTGGATGAATACGGAAGTTATATTAAGAGAGGAAAAAATCCATTGTATTTTAGTGGGTAGTACTAGCTTTTTTAAACAGTGAATTAGCCACCAAAATAGTTAGAATTATAACTAAAGTTTTTTAATAATACACCTATATAAAATATCATATTGATCCAAGTCATTCGATATGGTGTAATATCAATAAAATATATGTAGGTCTTTATTAAAGCACACAGTAATCTACTTCTGTACATGATAACCCTTAATTCATAGTTCAAAAAACATGAATTGATAGAATGATGAAAATATTTTGCAATATAAATCTATTTTACGTCAGTTCGAACCCATTTAATGAGTCCGGAGAGGTTTAAAAATTTACCTCGAAATTTCCGATCGCTACGAAAAATGAGATATAAAATTCAAACTATTGCATCGATTTTCACATTTAGTTGAGAATTTTATGTATGCTGTAATGGAAATTTACAAGCGCTGTTCAAACGTATATTTTGTTATTAAAGAGTTGTGATATTAATAAATATGTGAGTGTATCATGTTTATTTCTGTACAATTTTACGACTTTCTTATTGTCAAATGAAACGATTTAAATGTATATTATACTGATATCTAATACTGTTCACAATGGCGGATATCACGGATTCGACGAACTTTTTCGTGTTAAATAAGCTATAAAAAATGCTCTTGCCTGGTCAACCCAGTTCATTCATTCTATCAATATAATCATAGATTTGATATATTCAGCCATGTTCAACGATACAGCACGGGCCTCCCTTCAAAACTAAGGGGATAAGGCCATAGTCCACCACGATGGCTAAGTATGTGTTGGCGGACTTTACATGTCTTACGTGTGCTAAGCCGCTTAAAAACGCTAGTTTTTAAAAATAAAGGCATATGGAGAATATTAAGAATTATAACTCAAGGGTTTCATATTTTATAATAATTATTTTATTTTATATAAAAATAAATAATAAAATGTACATAAAAGTAATTTGTCTAGATTTGTTGTTACTCATCTCGACCTGATTCTTTGAATATATTCCAATAACAACACTGATAATTGCTAAGAAATTAAAAAAAATCCTATAAGGGTAAGATTTACCCCAAAAAAGGGGTTCATGTTTTTTCACGTGACATTATTAATAAAGTAGCCACAACGTTATTATCTCACTTATTATATTACAAATAACGGAAAATTATAAAAACAAAACAAATTATGGAAAATCAAGCAATGGACACGATAAATATATGTTGAAAACATTCTTAGATATCGAAATGTCATCATCAAACATTTGTGGGACGTGAGCCGATTTACAATCATTTATGATCGCGGTTTCATTGGGATCGAAACGTCACGTAACGTTATCCAATTTCCGGTGTATATTCGGATTTTATGTTAAAAGTTTTCAAAGTTTAACGATTACTTAGAGTTAAATATAAATTGGTTTACGCTATAGCGAGATATGTTAAATATTAACAAAATAGAATTAAAAAAAAAAACAAAAACAGACTGCTAAAGAAACTAGAACTAGCTGACTCTTCAGACGTTGTCTTGTCAAAATTGTAATAAAGTTGTTGGTATTTATGTTAATATAAAAATTCAATAGAAAAAAAACACGATAATTTTTTCCCGAATTTCTCAAATTTTTTTCAATTCTTATTCCCAAGAACCTTATTGAGACTATTATGAATATTAAAAAACTATTGACTTAATCAGAATAACCATACTCAAGTGGTGCACTTACCAATGAAGAGTATTTCATTTTTATTTATATAGAAGATTAGCGGCTCACCGTTCGTGTTCACCTCTAGAAAAATAAAAACAAACCTATCCCATGGAAACCGTACATTTCTTCGAGATATAAAGTAGCCTATGTGTTATTCCAGACTATAATCTATCTCTCTACCAAATTTCATCCAGATCTGTTCTGCGGTTCTGACGTAAAAGAGTAACAAACATCCATACATACTCATAAACTTTCACATTTATAATATTATAATAATACGGATTCAATGTAGGTCCTTGTCAATTTTTTTAGAAATTTGTCCAGCAGCTTAAGCGTGAAAAGTTTACACACAGAGTTACTCGTACTTTAATTTATACATAGGGTAAAAATGACAAAACTTATTCTCCACTTTAAGTGCACCAGCAGACAAAATTTTTATTTTGTTGAGATTAACTTCATATTTTTACATATTTTAATGATATTCTTTAATAATAATAATAATAATAATAACTTTATTCATAAATAAGGAAATTGAACATAGAACATAGTAATTTTTTACAGTAAAGGCTTGTACAAATCAATTTCATACAATTTCAACTTCATATTTTTACATATTTTAATGATATTCTTTAATATATTATTTCCCATATATCAATTCAACCCACACTTTATAGTAAAAGGCAAGTCGAATCTACGGTAAAGCGAATAAACCAGTAAATTGTCATATAAATTGCTTTAACTAAATGTAATATTCTGTTTTGCAACGAGCTATACAAATCTCAACAAAATACAGCTGTTTTCAGTGCTATGATATTCCGTTTGATCACTTCGGGTCCTAATTATACCTAATTACGATGTTCTCTCCCTAGTGATAGATCGTTGAAATACCTGACTAAAATAATCGTAGGCTGCTTAAAAATCTTAGGTCATAAAAATGCCAATAAAAATAACTTATCATTATAAATTACTTATGTAAAGTATATTGGTATAAATGTAATATATTTTGATTAATTACAATAATTAATTGTAAAACTAAAAACGTGGACCTCATTTTATAGAAAAC